AAGCCAGAGGAGCTGTGAGGCTTCAAGGAAAACAGCAAGGTTTCTTCTTGGCCGTTCTGCTCAGTGGCAGCCCCAGTCTGTGGGGCTGCAGTAAATCATCACAGGGATGGAATTTCTAGTCTTTTGGTCTCTCTGGCCCAGCCTATGCTCTGGTTGGGAGAAAGGATGTTGAATAAACCTGGGTTGCTCATGAATGGCTTCCTGGAGCCACTGTTATAAAAATCATTGGGGGGTAGGGTATGGGCACAAGGAAACAGGAGCTGGTAGGGTGTTGAGGAAAAAGCTTCTGAGATGCTCAGAGCAAGAGGAAGGTTCTGGAAGAATGGGTGAGAAGGGAGATACCAGCCTGGACCCACGGGACTCCTCTGGCCTGTGTGTGCTGGGGTGCTTTGCTTCTGGCCTCAAGAGAATGGTAATGTCCCCAGAACTCACTTCTCTTTGACAGTCATCGGAGAAAATGAGGACTCAGGTCCTGCCATTTCTCTGCAGACTACAAGACCAGGAACTTTTCCTTTGAGTGAGGCCAAAAAGGGCCATGGTTTCAAGATGTTAACCTTGGCATTGGAAGCTCAAGATGTCTCGTGCAATGCTGTCTTTAAGGCCCCCTGGAGTGTGGAAGTGGGAGGGTCTCCAGGAGTCCGTGGAGCCGGTGCCAAGGGCTACACAGCCTGGTTGTCTTTGAGGATTTCTTTCAGACTGTGAATCGTGCTTACAATACAGCCTCTACTGGGGAAGACAGTTTGTTCTGCGGACTGAACCCACAGCCTTGCAAATGCTAAGCGAGAACTCCACCACTGAGCTACATCTTTAAGTTCTCTCAGTACCATGCTGGCAGGTGACTCAGAAATCATGTTTGGAACTAAAAAGGATCTCTTTTCTTTCTCTCCCTCCCTCCCTCCCTCCCTCCCTCCCTCCCTTCCTCTCTCTCTTTCTTTCCTGCTTGAGCTGGCTTTGAACCTGTGATCCTCATATTTCAGCCTTCTGAGCAGCTTGAATTACAGGCAATGAGCCATCAGCACACAGCTTAGAAAGGATCTTAAAGTATTGTCTCCTACAGGAGGGGAACTGTGATCTGCAAAATGTTTACCAACAGTCCTCTCAGTCTTGGGCACAGAAATAGTCCTCCACTCATCTTCCAGCTCTTGGTTGACTACAGGACTGAAGTTTTTCTCCAGGAAGGGATGCGTGGTTGTCTGGTCACTTTTCCATTTTCCCTCAAGTCCTATGGGTAAGTATTTTATCCTGGTTTTTACAGAAGAAAGCACAGGCACATAACAAGCATTGAGGGCATCAGGGAGGAGAGTCTCTGCTGTTCATAAGGATGTAAATTTGGAAAATTTGTCCAGGTAAGTGATTTTTGTTGTTTGGATGTGGGGTATGCTCTACCATGTAAGTCTTCAGGTCAGTGGCCTTTCAGATCTATCCAGTCTTAAGTTCTGTGATTTCTTAGAGAAAATAAACAGAATTTAATTCCATCCTCTTTTGATTATTCTGCCTCCCATACCCATTACCTGAGGAAATGCCCCCTCCCCAACCCCGACTGCACAAAGTAAGAGGAGAGGTGTGATAGTCTATAATCCATGCACAATTCATGCTTAGACATTTTGGCCTGTTAGTAGGGGGAAATGAAGATATTTTAACCAAGCGTTAATTCCTTTTCTTGATATTTTGGGCTGGCCTTGCTTTTAGGTTGGGGACTGTATGCTTTGCAAATGGTGGGCAGATCTGTATGAGGGTCTTCTTTTTCTTTCAAATATAGCATCTGGTTTTTTGTTTGTTTTTCCAAAAGTCTTTAGGCACCATCAAAGTCTTTGGAGCCTCAGAGGGCCCTGGAGTTGATCTAGAATGAGTTACTTAAGTCTCAGAATGGGTGTCCTTACTGTAAAGCAGAGGTTAAATAAGTGTTCTTTGAAGATGTCTAGAGAGTTAGTCCTAGAAACCATTTATTTGAAGCAAGTGCACATGCAGCCGGCGCCTCCCCCTCCCTTCACCTAAAACACAGACAGTCCAGTTGGTGGGGCTGCCCAGCATGCAGGTGACCGCAAAGAATGACTTCAGGACACCCAAGGGGGTGGGGGTGGGAGGCAGGGAGACAAGCCGCCGCAGGGGGTCCTGCTGGAGAAGAAAAGCTCTGGATCACAGGGAGGAGGAGTACAAAGACCTCAAAAGATGACTGAAGGCCGGGGGAAGCTATTTTTAACTGGCCTCCTGCTGTGAGACAAGCTCTCCGAGCACGTTTGGTTCAGGCCCATTGTTGCTGTTCACCTGATCTCCGGAACTCTTTTGGGTATTTAACCCCAATGCTGGTACCAAGTGACATTCTTTTCACAAACAGGGCAATCTCTGGCAGGTGGGGGTAGCACGGGGCAAGAGACCAGGCCAGGCAGGGTCCCCAGTGGGGGAAAGAGTAAGTTCATGGGAAAAGGGAGACACAGGTTTCTTATTAAGGAAGAGGAGTGTTCTTTTTCTTCCTTCCTTCCTTCCTCTCCTCTCCTCTTCTCTCCTCTCCTCCCCTCTCCTTTCTTTTCTGTCAGTTGTCCTGTTTGAATCCAAGGCCTGGGTGCTGTCCTTGAGCTTTTTTGCTCAAGGCTAGCACTCTATCACTTAAGAGTCACAGTGCTACTTCCAGTTTTCTGGTGATTAATTGGAGATACAGCTCTCAGGGGCTTTCCTGCCCTGGCTGGCTTCAAACCATGATTCTCAGAGCTCAGCTTCCCAAGTAGCTGGGATTAAAGGCATGAGCCACAGGTGCCTAGCTAGGATGCTATTTTTCTCTGTTGGCATGAGTTGTTGAATCCTTCTTCCTCAATCAGTTTCTCTAATGTAATTTCCAGCTTGGAAACGGTCAAGTTACAACAATGGTAACAATTCACTCTACACATAAGTCTTAAAATACTATTATTATAACTAGTGTGTGTGTGTGTGTGTATGTGTGTGTTGGTAATGGGGCTTGAATTCAGGTCCTAGCACTCTCCTTTAGCTTTTTGTTCAAGGCTGGCACTTTACTGCTTGAGCCACACACACCTCTACCTTTAGCTTTTTGGTGGTTAATTAGGGATAAGAGTCTTATGGGCCTTTCTGCACTGGCTAGCTTTGGACCTTGATCCTCCTATCACAGCCTATTGAATAGCTAGGATTACAGGCTACTCTAAAAGAATTGGTAGGGGTGCAAATATGGCAATAAAATAAGAGTAGAATTGTCTTTTTTTTTTAAAAAAAAGATACTAAGCTGGGCGCTGATGGCTCACAACTGTAATCCTAGCTACTCAGGAGGCTGAGATCTGAGGATTGTGGTTCAAAGCCAGCTTTGGCAGGAAAGTCTGTGAGACTCTTATCTCCAAGAAACCACTAGAAAACCGGAAGTGGTGCTGTGGCTCAAGCAGTAGAGCTAGCCTTGATCTGAAGAGCTAAGGGACAGCACCCAGGCCCAGAGTTCAAGTCCTATGACCGACAAAAAAAAAGAAGACACTATTTGTTGTGACATACTATAAAATATAGCACCCTTGCTTAGAAGGGCCTTCTCTACTTCATGGTTACTCATCCAGGACGCCAGCACTTCGGATCCTCCTGTGGTTTATGTTTTCATATATCTGGGAATTATTAAAATGAAAAGAGGGAGATAAGGGGTTTCTATGCATTTTTCCAAGTGCCCAACCAGTTGGAACATCTGTTCTTTCCTCATTTGCTTGAAATTTTGTCTTATACTAAATTCCTATATATGTTGGAGTTTACTTCAGGACCCTATTATTTTATGATTATGATTATGATGATTTCTCCGTGAACTAATCCGTGAACTCAGGAGCTGGACAAAGCTGAGTGTAAACTTTACCATGGCTACCTGGAACTTTCTAAACCTCCCTTTCCTTTTCTAGACTTTGAGGATAACACTCTGACTATCTTACTGGGCTATTTCCAACATTAAGTGACTGAGCATGCGCAGAGTTGTCCAGCGTGGTCCCCAGCACCTGTGCTGGCCGGGTCCTCTGGGATACTGACCCTGCCATATAGATGGGCTAGGCCTGTGGAGGCAGCAGCATTCAGAGAGGGGGAAGGAGGCAGGATGGGTATGGAGGGGAAGACTGTAACCCAGCCTCACCCGGTCTCACAGGGAGCTGGAGCTCCCATAGCCCAGCAGCCTTGTCCCAAGTGGGCCAGGCGTGAATCCCCCCTGGGAGCGGAGGAGGAGGCTCCTTGCATCTGGAGAGCTGTCAATAATGGCTTCCTGCCCCCAGGCCAAGCTGCCTCGGTTAAGGAGGGACTTTGGATGCATATGGCAGTATCCACCATTTGCATTGCCTTCAAAATCTTCTGATTCCTGCACCCACTCCCTCCCCCCACCACACACCTTCTTGGTTTCCAACTCCAAACAAAGTTCACACAGCTTCACGCTGGAAAGGGTCCTTGCCCCCAAGGGCTTCTGGTATGTTGAAACTTCAATTTTCCTTTTCCTGTCTTTCATGACACTTGAACTCAGGGCCTAGGTGCTGTTCCTGAGCTCTTTTTTGCTCAAGGTTAGCACTCTACCACTTGGAGCTACAGTGTTACTTCTCGTTTTCTGGTGGCTAATTGAAGATAAGAATCTCATGGACTTTTCTGCCTGGGCTGGCTTTGAACTGTGATTCTCAGATCTCAGCCTCCTTAGTAGCTAGGATTACAGGTGTGAGCTACCAGTGCCCATGGAACTTCGATATTTTATGCATCACAAATACATGGAGAAGGTGTTGTTGGAAGGTGAAGAGGGAGGGGTGATATGTGAAAATGAGATGTGCTGGGCCAGAATTTGACCACCCCAACTTTCCTCTTAGGTTTGAATACTTTCAATATTGTTCTGGTCATTTCAATTGTGTTTAAACCGGAATGGAAATGTGATCACCGGGCTACAGACTGATAGCCCAAATGGCAAAGAATCATCTTTTCTGCAGAGACCAAGAGAAAATGTGAGGTCAATAATTTGCTTTTCCTTTTATTATAAAAGTAAAATAAAAATAGCATTTATAAATCCAACATTTTTTCCCTTAAAGTATTTGATCTAAAAAAATATTTACAATAGCAAAAAATGCAGAAAAAGGGGAAAATACCATTTTCAGCACTGATTGTAGCCACGTTTAAATATCGCTAAGTCCATGTTTCTCAAATCCCAGTGGCAAGCACATTAGAAAAAGCAATAAGCCTTTTTTTTTAAAAAAAAATTGCACGCCAGTGACTTTGATTTTAAACTATTTCTCTCTCTCTCTCTCTCTCATTATTCTGAATGTATAACTGAGTGCTGTGGATGGTGAGAAAGAATCCAGGTAGGGACAGGATACCTCTGAATGACAATGGGATGGAGCAGCAGGTGCAGCAACAGAAAACAGCTGGAATCCCCGAAGCATCTGGAAAAGCTCAGGAAGCGACCTCACCTCCATGCAGCTGCAGCTCAGCCGCGGGCTGTGATGGTTAGATTCTATCTGTACGTGAAACCACTACAATTCATGGAAGGAAGCCAAGTGTAGAAGACCATGAATGAAATCCAGAATGATCCGGGCAGTGGGTCTGCTCCTCTCGAGCACCTCTGGATGCACTTTCCCTTCCTTCTTTGGGATGATAAGAGTGACATTTTAGGGCTTTGGTTTACCCGTGAGGGAAATGGCCGGTGGGTTAAATTTTGCCCTCGATGGGTCCTTCCTGTCGGTATTCGTGGGGAATTTTGTTCAGAGTTAGCAACGAGCCACCGCCGCTGGTCAGAGATTCTGTGAAGCTGAGTTTGTAGAAGGACGTCTCCACTCCGCTGTCACAGATGCTGTCGTCCTGGAGCTCATCTGGGGGGAAGAAGGCACGCATTCACTGGAGGCCGGGCAAGGACCAACCCTGTGTGTGGCCGGTCTTCTACCCTATGGTCACCTTCCCCTCTCCCTGCAGCAAGCGTTCTGGCTGGCTCTGGATAGCAACATGGATGATCTGATCACTGCCTTCCACCTGTTACCATCCCTGCCATCCCTACATAATGCAGGTGAGGGACAGGAAAATCCATGGCCATGGGCTGTCACCACCTCATCTTCTGTTCGTTCAAATGCGTTCTCAATAGACCTTTTTGTTTCTTAGAAATCAGGTTTATTATTCCAGGTGGTGTATCACCTATTTTATAGCAGGAGAAACTGCTGCATCTAGACAAAATAAATAAAGGGGAGGGCAGGGGGCTAGAGGTGTAGGAGAGAGAGTGTGTTTTGAATGGGATAATAGAATTATGGAGAACTATTGGCTCCGTGGGCTGCCCTGAGACTTCGTTCGCCCTGTGGGTTGGGAATGACAAGGTATGGTGGATGCTGGGGATGGGGGGGCAAGGTGAGCTTGGGGAGGGGACTGAAGGAGGAGCTCACAGCAGGGGGGTGTAGAGGAGGGACTGAAGTGTTCAGGTGGGAAAAACATCAGCATCCATCTGTGGTCTATGTGCTAGACCCCAGTCTATAAACTTCATGCTCTATGTTTTCCCCAAGGAATCTCAATTTCTCTCTCTTCTCCCCCATCTCTTTTGTTGATCATAGGCTTGAACTCTGGGCCTGGGCACTGTCCCTGACCTCTTGAGCTCAAGGTGAGAGCTCTACCACTTGAGCCACAGTGCCACTTCCGGCTTTCTAATGGTTAATTGGAGGTAAGAGTCTCAGGGACTTTCCTGCCCGTGCTGGCTGGCTTTGAACTGAGATCCTCAAATCTCATGTACCTGAGTAGCTCTCTCGCTCTCTCTCTCTCAACATAAGAAATGAGAGAAGTATTATTGACCTTAACTCCATGTCATTTTCAGAGTTTCCCAGGAATCTAAGTAACTTGCGTGTCAATGGGCCTGCTTGTGGGGACAGTCCCGGTAGACAAATGGTAGTGACAGGGACAAAGGTAAAGCTGGGGCTGATGGGGCTGGGAATGTGGCTTAGTGGTAGAGTGCTTACCTAGCATGCATGAAGCCCTGGGACTCAACTCCTCAGTACCATATACACAGAAAGAACCAGAAGTGGCGCTGTGGCTCATGTGGTAGAGCCTTGAACAAAAAGAAGCTCAGGGACAGTGCCCAAGCCCTGAGTTCAAGCCTCAGGACTGACCAAAAAAAAGGAAGAAAGGAAGAAAAAGAAGGAAAGGAAGAAAGAAAGCAAGAAAGCAAGAAAGCAAAAAGGCTGGGGCTGGTGCTACTCAGGAAGGTGCATTCAGGAGGTGGTAGATGAGATCTGAGGGGCCACATCCTATGAGAACCATAGACCCCAGTCTCGGGAGCGGAGACCATGTCCTCTGCCCTTCTGTCTTTTTCCCCCCTTTACCTATGTGCCGTCTCACAGAGGAAGGCGAGGGAGGCAGCATGTGGGCCTGACTGGTGGGCTTCACAGGGCTGGAGGCTGGGGTCGCTGAGGTACAGAGAGCCGCCTGGATCACCTCAATGGCCTCCGTGTAGCCCATCTGCTGCAGGGCCTCCACCAGCTCTCTGACGGTCCCTCCAGAGACCTGGGAGAAAAAGTCAAGAGGATGTCCTTGAGTCTCTGCGCAGGCTCGAAGCCCTGACACTGTCCCCTCCCTCTGTCTTCTCTCCCAGAGCCAAGTGCTTCTGGGGAGGGCAGAGAGAAAACACAGGGCCTGTGATCATAAATACAGTCTTTGAATCACGCTTCCTGTTTCTGTTCAAAGGCCACTCAGGAAATCACAGACAAGTGGCTTATCCTAAGAGAGAGGAGGGGCAGGGGGAGAGAGAGCCGATGCAGTGGAATGGAACTCGATGTAAGCGGAAGCTCCAAAATCCACTAAGAAACAACAGCAGAAAAATCACCTCACCCTACGTGTCCCTACCTTGAGCAAAGCAGACAGCAGCAGGCACCCCAGAGACCCACGATGCCTTGTACTGACTCGTACATGGCCGTGGGGGCAGGAAGAGGTGCATGCTGCTTACAATCTCTCTCGTGTGCTGGGGAGATCACAGCGGAGGGACCACTCTGACTTGCAAGTAGCATTTCATGGGAAGGCTTGGGGAGAGGGGGGACATGAAGACATACTTCTTCAAAAATAGGGCTTCTCTCTTAGCCTCGGTTCCCCTCCCCACACCTTGGGCAAGGACTGGTTTTCTTCCTCAGCATGATGGGGCAGGGAGAGGGTGTTCCTCTGGACCAATCACATCCCTGGAGGGAAGCTGGATGGAAAAGCTGCAACGGGGAAAGTGATGCTTTACCTCGTAGTTGTCCATCAGTGTTTTTGAAGGGGCGGGGCTCAGCCTGAAGGCGTTGTTAAGGATCCCCAGCCCCAGCTTCTGTGCCAGCGTAGCCCAGTTTTTGTCTGGATCAGGAATTTCCAGCAACTTGTAGAGCTGCAGCTTTGCATTTTCAGCCAGCTGTTTCATGTCTCCTGAAGGAAAGGAGGACCAGGTGACTGACTGTCCACTCCCAGGGTCACTGCTCTTTTGCTGTCCCCCCAACTCCCAGGGGATGCAGCCCAGCAGAACAGAGCAGAGCAGAGCTGGCGGATGAGGACCAGGCAATCTCCTTCGATTCTGAAATAAGCACTGTGCCTGTTATAACCCCCTCCATGTAAAACATGTGTGGAGAGAGTAACTGGTGGAGAGAATCTGGTTCTGTCACAACCCACCTTGTGGCGGCAAATCATCAGCGGTGACCTCTGGCTCATAGGGTTTCCCATTTAATATCTCAAAGACCTGTTGGTTAGGAAAAAAAAAAACATGGGAAAACATTACACTGAAATGTCTTAAGTTAAAAGAAAGCAAAACAAACAAGAACCTCACAGCTGTGGAGGTCTTTCAGGTGTTCTCTGCACTCCCTTTGCTGCTGCTGGACCAGGGGAAAGACAACATGGGGGTGAGGACTGTGAGCCCTCTAGAGAAAAGGCCAATGTACCAGGGGAACCACGCACGGGGCCTTTCAGTCCCATATAAACTGGCTGCCAGGAGGCGCGCGAGCAGCTTTGAGAGGCGCAGTTGAACTTAACCTTCAAAACTCAATTTTGTGTTAGGTGCCTGTAGCTCATACCTGTAATCCTGGATGCTACTCAGGAGGCTGAGATCTAAGGTTCATGGTTTAAAGTCAGTCCGGGTAGGAAAGTCCATGAGACTCTTACCCCAGTTCACTACCAAAAAGTTCCAATTAACTACTGAAAAGCTGCAAGTGGAGCTGTGGCTTAAGTGGTAGAGTGCTAGCCTTGAAAAAAAAAAAGCACAGGGACAATGCCCAGGCCCTGAGTTCCAGCCTCACAACTGGTGCTAACAGGCACATGTGTACACACACACACACACACACACAATAAAAAACGAAACAATTCCATTTTGTGTGTTGAAGATCTGTACATTCCTCCACTCTCTCTTCTCTTTACCCAATGATCTCTTCATTGATCTACCTCCTCAGATCTCAGTGCCTTGGGGTTTTGCGGAAGGATTTACACTTAATCTGTTTGTATTTGTGGGGAAATCCTCAGAAGAATTTTTGCCATCAGAAATTACTCACATTAAGTTCTGAACCAATGATAGCAATTTCTCTGAGCTCAGGAAATTGAGATAGAAATAATTCTGGGGTGTGCGCAGAACGTCTACCTCGATGTAAAATTTGGGTTTTCTTGACCTCTCAACATCTCAACTCTGATCTGATTAGGTAGACACTTTTACACTGAGGGCTCAGCTGACCTAGATCTTCCATGGATAGGCGATTCAAGATAAATATGGCTCTTGACAAGCTGAGTTTCTTAAAAATAAAAGGCCTGCTATTCAGGGCCCCGAATCAAAGGAAGCCATCTGTCCTTACATTCCCGGCCTCTGCTTCCCGCAGGAGCATCTGTCATACAGCCCAAGCAGCTCACACTCACCTGCCAGTTGGCAGCCATATCTAGAGGTGTGGTTCCGGGCACGACTCCCTCGTCCTCTCCAGCCTTCTCCCAGGAGTCATCCGGATCATAGAGAGGCTCAAAGTTCTCTACCAGGGGGTCTGCTCCTGAGAAGTCAGGTGACACTGTTAGGCAAGACTAAACCTTGTCAGCTCCCAACTGCTTGCCAGGTCAGATTTGCAAAGGCAATGTACCTTTAGATGCGAAAGATAATCATCATAATAATTTTTGTTTATATTGTTATTGTAAAAATACTGTACAGAGGGTTATAGTTACATGAGTAAGGTAATGAGTACATTTCCTATCCAGCATTGTTACCTTCTCCTTTGTTTTTCCCCTACCATCCCTTCCCTCTCCACCTCCCCAACTCCTCTCCCGCCCCCCCCCCCCGCAAGTTGTAAAGTTCGTTTTCAATATAGTGTCTTGTACATCTCATGGTTAAAATGGGTCAACCTGTATCCTTGTTTCAGCATTTTGTTATTTCCCTTTCCCGCCCCAAATTAGAAAAATATATATTCAAGATGCAGGGCACTGGAATCATATACAGTGAAAGCAGGGGTTATACCACAGGGGAAGAATATACAAAAGAAACAAAAAAATCACATGGTACATTATAATTTTTTTTTTCCAGTTGTGGGGCCTGAACTCTGGGCCTGGACGCTGTCCCTCAGCTCTTCAGCTAAAGGCTAGCTCTCTGCCACTTGAGCCACAGCGCCACTTCCAATAATAAAAAATTTTAAGGCATAAAAGACATTTTAAGCTGGGTGCTGGTGACTCCCACCTGTAGTCCTCCCTACTCAGGAGGCTGAGATCTGAGGATAGAGGTTTGAAGCCAGCCCAGGCAGGAAAAGTCTGTGAGATTCTTATCTTCAATTAATGAGCCCAAAGCTGGAAGCAGAGATGTGGCTCAAGTGGGAGAGAGCTAGTCTTGAATGAAGACGCTAAGGGGTAGTGCCAAGCCCTGAGTTCAAGCCCTAGTACTGGCACAAAATAAAAGAAAAAGACATTAAAAAATGTTAACCACTTCATAATGTTGTTTTGTAGTATCCTATCTCACCAAAGAACTATTAAAAACAAAAGGCTTTGAATACTTCTGACCTGTAGCTCTACAGGATAGTTTTCATGTGAATGGTGTACCTTTAACCTGAGGACCAGGACATATGAGTCAGAGGGACTGGGTCATTGACAGGACCAATGTCCTAATGTTCAAGTATGCTGCCAATGTGCATTTCTCACCCGCTCCTCTCACTAGCTGAAAAGGGCGAACATACTTTATGTCTAGTGACAGCTGGCCAGATTTATTCTTTGGTGAGCATTGCCAGGGCTCCAGTCTTAAACAAGCTAAAAACAAAACACGAAGAGAACCTTCTACTAGGATGTGCCTGTCCTGGTGTGCGCATGTGTGTGCATGTGTGCGTGTGTGTGCATGTGTGTGTGCATGTGTGTGTGCATGCGTGTGTGCGTGTGTGTGTGTGTGTGTGTTGGTAACTGAGGCTTGAACTCAGAGCATGGAAACTCTCCCTTATAACTTTTTCACTCAAGAATGGCATTCTACTACTTGAACCACGCCTCTTCTGGCTTTTGTTGATGGTGAACTGGGCAGGCTTTGAATCCTGATCTCAACCTCTTGAGTAGCTAGGATTACAGGTGTGGCCACTGGTGTCCAGCTAGCCTGTTCTTTAGTGTCCAGTGAAAAAAAAATACAAAAAGTAATTCACAAATAACTACTCAAAGTCCTAGTGACCTTTTAGGAGAGTGTTTGCTCAGTGTGATATTTGCGAACAGTGTTAAGATAAGATGCTCTTTTGGATGTGGAACTCATTTTGATTTTGTTGGCAGAACATCTGATTTGGGGCAAAATCAATGATGGAAGAGTGTCCAAGAAAAGCCACCAGGCGATTGCTTGCTTTGCCATGGCTAGTGCTGGCTCGAGCAAGTATGTGTGTGTGTAAACTGACCATGAGAACAGTGGAGAAACTAAAAGAAACCAGGAACAGGACCCAAGATGGGAGAGGCTGAACTACACCTGTTTTTCATGTGACCTTCTTCATGGCTTTGATCTCCCCACGAGGCGTCTCTATTTATATCAGAGACACCAGTACTTGCTACTTTTTCATGAGATCCTGAGAGTTTAAGAGAAAGCATTTTGGAAAGCATCATAGCATACTGCCTGAAGACATTTCTTCAGTGTAACCAGTGCCTTCCAAAATGGTCCACACACACTACAGCCAGTACCTCTCAGATAAAGAAAAGCTCAATTTGACAAGAGGAAAGAAAGGAAGAGAGAGAGAGAGAGAGAGAGAGAGAGAGAGAGAGAGAGAGTGGGGGGGCAGGCAAGTAGGCAGGCTACTGTTTATTTAACGTATAATTTACTTATTAGAAAAAATATGGTACTGTCCAGGAAAAAGTTCTCATATCTTTTAGTGAGTGCCTTAACCTGCTCTGTTTTCTTGAATTTATGCATCACTTAAAAAAATCTTATAAAAATTTTAAGTAACTTCTATGTCTATCAGACTTGAAGGGCCAATATCTGGTTTCTGTGTGTGTGTGTGTGTGTGTGTGTGTGTGTGTGTGTGTGTGTGTGTGTGTGTGTGTGTGTGTGTGCAGGGCCTCTAGCTATCCCATATCTTTTTGACTCAAGGCTATCACTCTATCGCCTGAGCCACACTTCCACTTCCAGCTTTTTGGTGATTTAACTGGAGATAAGAATCGCTTAGATTTGTCTTCCCAAAATGGCTTCACACTATAACCCTCAGCTCTCAGCCTCCTGAGTGGCTAAGAGTTACAAGCAGGAGCCACTGGCACTTGGATTGTAGTATCATTTTCATTATACTTGGTTCTAACTTCACAAGGCACTGGAGACTCAGAGATGAACAAGAATAATTTTCTGTACTTTATAGGGCTGGAGTATTAAATGAACCACGAGCCCTTTGCAAACCCTGAGCAAAGAGGAGAGAAAATAAAGCATGGAGGCCCAGCCTGCTTTGTCACACAGGGGACTTTGCCATGGGACTGTTCATAGGCAGGAATAATAGTAGTGGAACTTATCTCAAACGTGTTTCTGTGGATTGAACGCAATCAAGGAGGCAGTGCCTATAATGAACCAGTGTAGGGTCATGTTCATAGAAACAGTGTACACAGCTCATTTGCTTTTTCAACCCCTTGTGTGAAAGGAGGTCTTCAAATCTTTTCTTTTGGGCAGTTGTGATGGGATCAGAGACTGATACAGCTCAGAACTGTACAAGAAATTAAACTCTGGGCACTGGTAGCTCATACACCTGTAATCCTAGCTACTTAGGAGGCTGAGATCTAAGAATTGAAGCCAGCCTGAGGAGGAAAGCCCTTAAGACTCTTATCCCCAATAAACTACCAAAAAAAGCCAAAAAAAAGGAAAGAAAAGAAATTAAACTCGATGATTCAGAGAGTAAAACACGACAGGGTAATAGTCTACACGGTGCCTTTCCTTAATTACAACGAAATTGGCTATGAAGTTTTTGCTTACCTGTCGTTCAGAAACAGGTCTTTGGCTTAAAGAAGGCGACAGTACTGCTGTGAAGTTGAGTTTGCATTTCTGATCATCTTTTTCATGAATGTCAAGCCCCTTACCTGCTGCTTTGAGGAGCGCTGCCAGCCTGGTGGAGCCTCTCCCAGCTGCTATGTGCAGGGGTGTAGTTCCATCGAAGGTGGTGCTATCCACGTGGGCATCGCCCTGAAACCCAGGGTGCACAGAAAGACAACGTTAGCTGAAGGGTCTCTGGCCTTTCTGTCCCCACGACCCCTGTGCACAGCTTCTCCGTTCACTAGTCCCACTGCTGCTCTGGGCTGGCTCTGCTTGGAAGCAATCCCTAATGAGAGTAGGTGATGCTTAACGTTGCTATTCTGAACATTGCACAGAAGTTGAATACACTGTTGTAGGAAGGAGTCAAGCTGATGCTGACATCTTTCTTTGAAAAGACATCCTTAAATCATCCTTGGGCATCGAATGCAACAACCAACAAGGGCACCCCAGGCTTCCCTCACCTCCAGGAGCAGGCAGCCCGCCAAGGAGATGTTGTCCTGTTCCACAGCCAGGTGCAGCGCTGTGCGCCCAGCCTTCTGCTCGGGAGCGTTGACGTCCGCTCCCGCCGCCACCAGCAACAGAAGACACGGCAGGCTGTTGCTCAGCACGGCTATGTGAATGGCGTTCAGACCTAGGATCCAAGCACAGGGACAGGCACAGGGTGGGAACGCTGCCCATCCATGGTTCTCCCCAAAGCTGTAGGGAATGGCACAACTAGATCCCAGGCTTGGAGACTGGGAGCTTCCAGCTCCTGTAGTGGCTGCTTGGGGACCCTTTAAAAGCTCTGTTAAGTCTATTGTTCTGGGTTGCAAAGCCATAGTCTCCTAGTCTGCTGTCAGGAGAAACAGAGTAGGTACACATTCTTGGAATAACTGATGCTTTATACCTCTCAAGACCACTGTTTGCACAGGCCTTTGCTTCTTCCTCCTACCAAGTCACCATTCCAAATCATCTTTAAAGGAATTCGCTATGGTGAGCAAGAGAAACACACCCCAGACACGACGAACTACACATGACCAGAGAAAGTCCTTTGAGTATAAGCCGAGAAACACTTATCAAATAGCAAGCGGTTAATTAGAAACTGAGTGGTAGAGGCTGCGCTAACACTGCGAGGGGCTCTTACCTTCCCCATTGGGGTGGTCAATAAGAGGAGCTGCCTTCTTGTGCTTGAGTAAGATATTGAGAATTTGATCATGTCCTTCTTTGGCGGCTAGGTGCAAGACAGAGTTACCCAGACGGTCCAGAAGGCTCAGGTCAGCCCCGGCCCTCAGCAAGTCCTCCACCACATCTTCCTGCTTAGTGATCACTGCCAAGTGCAAGGGGGTCTAGGGAAGGAAGGGGCAGGAGATGGGCTGGTCAGTGGTGAGCATCTGCAGACCATGGCTTAGCAGCTGACGTTGGAGTATGTAGAGTCAGTCTGCAGGGCTGTTGGCCATTCCCAGACTAATTCTTAATCTTTGCAGAAGAGTTTCTCATTCTAGGGTACTGTGTGTGAGTCGGGCAGGCTCACACACTCAGATTCAGTCATTTAGTAATTAGAATAATTAGATGGCTTTTACGTGTACACCTTGCAATACTTTATTTCTGTTTCGTCAGAATTCTATGGTTGCTATTTTAACGTAAGTATAACCGATTTTTAGCTTTCTTGAGTTTCCAGTATTGATTCATCCTTAGCTACTAATTTTGTATGCTAGCAAATCAAGCCAAAGCTACGGTTTTATGTAAGGACATTTTTGTTGTTGTTGATGATGATCGTGGGGCTTGAACTCTGGACCTGGATGCTGTCCCTGCACTCTTCAGCTCAAGGTGAGTGCTCTACTGCTTGAGCCACAGCGCCACTTCTGGTGGTTAATTGGAGGTAAGAGTCTCACAGACTTTCCTGCCAGGGCTGGCTTTGAACCTCGAGCCTCAGATCTCAGCCTCCTGAGTAGCTAAGATTACAGGTGTGAACCACTGGCACCCAGCCTTACATAAGGAATTTAAAATGAACTTTTAAATAGAAAATCAACTGACAAAGCTGACATCATTTTACAGTAACATGAGAAATAAATTTACTAAATTAAAAAATGCTATTCTATGGACCGGCTTGAGACCCATCATTACGTTGTACTTCCATTTCATTAACGGTGTTACACTGGCTGCTAAGAAGCGTAGTTAGAACAATGTAAGTATCTCACTAGGAAAGCTCAAAGGAACATAAACCCTGAGCTGCTGGTAGCCGGCAGAAAAATCCATGTGACAACTCTGCCTAGAGAGTAGTGTTTCAGTGAATACGAATAAAAATCGTATGTTTTCAAAAATGTGCAAGACAAATACAGCCGTGGAAGAGCCTTTCACACACACACACACACACACACACACACCCCTCAGTCTGTTTCATAGGAACCTAATTATGAAATCTAGCCTGTCTGGTGACAGCTCGCCTAAGTTTTCTTTCAGAAAGCATTTGCTGATGGCTACTGTAGTGACAGGCGAGTCACCAACACCAGAGCTGCCATAGGCAATGTACGCACTTGGTAGATGCAAGGTGTATGAGGCCTGGACCACCACAATCTCACATCCAGCGATTATTTAAGACAGTAGAAACAAGACAAGATTTTTTTAAAAACCAAATTATCATCCTCCATTATTTCTTTCATCTTCTAGCATAAAATGGAACAATGCCCACAAAACTTTAGATGGGTATCAGTAAGTTTTCCTCTCTACAGCAAATCACGCAATCAAGGTTCTGCTTACTAATCTTCATTTTCTGACAGGAAATGGAAAGAGAAGAAGACTATGAAAAAGATTCGAAACTGAAGAATATTCGATCGATCAGAAATGAGAGCCAGGCATTGGGGGCTCAGGCCTGTAATCCTAGCTACTCAGGAAGCTGAGATCTGAGGATCGTGGTTTGAAGTCAGCCAGGAAAGAAAGAAAAGTCCAGGTGAGACTCTTTGAGCTGTGGCTCAAAGTGGTTGAGCGTTAGCCTTGAGCAAAAAGAGCTCAGGGAGAGCATCTAGGTCCTGAGTTCGGGCCCTACAACTGACAAAAGAAAACTTAAAAAAAATTAGGATAATCTCTCTCTAGTTTTGTTTATTTATTTAGGGGTGCTGGGGATTGAACCTAGGGCTTCATTTAAACCAGGCAAGGCTCTAGCTCTAGGCTCTAATACTAAGCTATTCCCCACAACCAATCATTAGTTTTGAAATACATTTTTCATATCATATAAAATCTCTCACCATAATTTCTTAAAAATTTTATCTCACAGTGCCACCAAAGGCTTTCTGTGGTATGTTGGCCTTGGAGATTTCCATCGGCGGGACCCTAGGCATCTTCACCCTGTGCATGTGTGGGGACTGAGGCTGACTCTCAGGAGAGTCAAGACCTCAAATATCGTAGCAACCTCCAACACAAACACAGGCAAGGATTCTCACGGCAGCACTGTTTTCTCTAGGTGGGAGGTTAGAGGCTGGTTAACTGACTGTTACTGAGAATAAGTGAGTCAGAGACTGAGGAAGTATGCAATGGGGTTCTATTCAGGAGCCATGACTGAACGAGCCAAACATATAACTGCATCGACAAGTCTTACACACAGCCACGGCAGAAATAAAATGGCATGGAGCGTATAGACTAGTTTTGAACTTCAGGGCCGAAGGCTGAATCCTGCTTCAACCTTCTAAACATTGGGACTATAACTGCATATCAAAAGTGCTTTCCTCTCCCTCTGTTTCCCCTTCTCCCTCTTCCTTCCCTTCCCTTCCCTCTTTTCTTCTCTCTTCCTTCCTTCCTTCCTTCCTTGTTTCCTTCCTTGCTTCCTTCCTACCTTCCTTCCTCTGTCCTTCCTTCCTTCTTCTCCCCCTCCCTCCCTCTCACTCTCTTTCTCTCTCTCTCCTTCCTCTCTCTCTCTCCTTCTTTCATTCATTTTCTTTTGTGTTAGTCCTGGGGCTTGAACTCAGGGTATGGGTACTGTCTTTGAGTTTTTAGTGCAAGGCTACTGCACAGCACCACTTAACCTTGAGCTACATCTCTGCTTCTGGCTTTATAGTGGCTAACTGGCGATAAGAGTCTCACAGACTTTCCTGCCTGGACTAACTTTGAATCACCATCTCAGTCCTCAGATCTCGGCTTCCTGAGCAGCTTGAGCTACTCCTTCTAGTAGCATGGGCCACTGGTGTCTGGCTTATTTCTTTATTTCTATAATTTATTTATTCCTGAGTCAGAGTTTTACTATGTTCCTCAGGCTAGCTTTTAACTGCAGGGCCTTTGCTTCAACTTCCGAGATGCATGCCACTGTGTTTCTTTTGAAAACAAAACGATAAAATGAGGACGTGGACAATGAGCAACATCTGATGAGCATTTGTGGATTATGCCTGTGTTCATTTCCTGGTTTGGATACTGTGCTGTAGTTACATAGGATGTCAACACTGAGGAGAGCTCCATGATAGTTTCTTCAATGTCCACCCAGTAAATATGGTGGGCCTTTCAGTACACTTAAAGAGTTCTTTATGAACCCACAGGTATATCAAATTAAACATTCTGAGAAAGGTTAATGCAAGGTGGCAGATGTCTGTGTAAAATGATGTGAATCATATGAGGAAGTACACCAAATGACACATGTAATTCCAGTTCCCATACACATCCAGTCATATTTGGAACATTCTGTGCCTATAAACACAATGTTTATTTACATTTGGGAGTAAGGCTGAAGGACTTGTGAATTGCCAGAGAAGGCAGTGTTGAGTTCTCAATCCTTTTGCCCCATTTAAAAAATAACATATTGGGCTGGGAAGGTGGCTCAGTGGTAGAGTGCTTGCCTTGCATGCCTGAGGCCCTGGGTTCAATTCCTCAGCACCACATAAGCAGAAAAAGCCGAAAGTAGCGCTGTGGCTCAAACGGTAGAGCCCTGAGCTGAAGAGCTGAGGGACAGTGCCCAGGCCCAGAGTTCAGGCCGCAGGACCGACCAAAAAACAAAAAAAAACAAAAAAAATTATGTTTGTGATAATTAAAAAAAGAGAAAAATGCAGGCATAAAACCACTCAATAATGTTTTATGGGAACATACACAAATAAAATAAACCACATCAAACACATCAGAACAATCATCTATGAGGAAGGAGACTGGAAGAGAAGATTATAAAGAGAACATCTCCAGAAAAACCCTAACTGTATGAACTTGGACTATTTTGAGTGTACAGTGGGTGGGGATGAGGATTTGGTCATGACAGATGTTCACAGCAATGTACTAAGATTAGTGAAAGGTATTTGGGGAAATGTTTACAATGATTCCCATATAAAGAGAACTGTCTAATTTTCTATCGAGAATAGTTATGAGAGCCAGGTGCCAGTGACTCATGCCTGTAATCCTAGTTATTCAGGGAACTGAGATCTGAGATCTGAGAATCCTGGTTCAAAGCTAGCTTGGGCAGGGAAGTCTGTGAGACTATTCTCTAAAATTAACCACCAAAGAGTCAGAAGTTGAGGCACTGGCCTGGAGCAAAAGAATAGGCTAAGGAGAGAGGGAGAGAGAGGGAGAGGAAGGGCAGGCAGGCAGGCAGGAAGAAAGAGAGAGAGAGAGAGACAGACAGACAGACAAAGACAGAGACAGAGACAGAGACAGAGAGACAGAGAGGTAGAAAGAAACCCATATCTATAATCCCAACTGTTTAGGAGGTTGAAGTAAGAAGATTTTTTTGGCTCTGAAATTCAAAGCTAGCCTGGGCAATATAGCAAGACCCTGTTTCAAAAAATAAAAAACAAAAACTACCTGGGTGCTGGTGACTCATGCCTGTAATCCTAGCTATTTAGGAAGCTGAGAGCTGAGGATCTTGGTTCTAAGCCAGCCCTGGCAGAATAGTCTTTATGAGACTCTTATCTCCAATTAACTACTCAAAAAACAAACAAACAAAACAAAACTGCAAGTAGTATTGTGGCTCAAAGTGGAAGAGCGCTTGAGCAAAAGAACCAGAGACAGAGTCCAGGCCCTGAGTTCAAAGCCCCATGACTGACACAAAACAAACAAAAAAACCATTCAGAGTGATGGTACAGAGGAAAAGATGACGCTGTGTTCTTCTCCTGGGCCCCATATTAGAAGGGAGCAGAACGCCAGTGGTGGCAGTTTCAAGGGTTTTTGTCTCCAGCACTCATGACAGTCTCAATATATGTGACCAAACAGTACGGAAAGGAGGTTCACACATAATAAATCACAGCTTCTAATCCTGTGGTGCCTGGTCCTTTGCCAATCCTATTTATAATGAGAAAAACAAGTAAGTACTTCCTTGGATCTGACCTATAGGCACTGGGGTGGAGGTAAGGGTTGAGGAGTCTCTGAAAGAATGGCTACCGCATCCTGTTCCTCATTTTCTTTGTATATTTGCGATTGTTAAAAGAAAGAAGCAGGGGTTGGGAAGGTGGCTCAGTGGTAGAGTGCTTGCCTAGCATGCACGAAACCCTGGGTTTGAGTCCTCAGTACCACATAAACAGAAAAAGCCAGAAGTGGTGCTGTGGCTCAAATGGTAGAGTGCTAGCCTTGAGCAAAAGAGGCTCAGGGACAGTGCTCAGGGCCTGAGTTCAAGCCCCAGGATTGGCAAAAAAAAAAAAAAAAAATGAAAAAGAAAGGATCAGTCTAAACATTTTGGGTCACCAAATAGCAATAATCTTCTTCCGAGATGATTTAGAATGTTGAAGAGAACTCTTTGACTTCATCTGAGTTATTTTATAGCATGATACAGTAAAGAGTCCCTAACCTTTTAATTTTTTATTTTTAGCCTTGACATGTAGTACAACAGCTAGAGAAGAAATCTAATGTCTAATAACGAGTGGGAGACAATTATTTTCTTCTCTCAGGAAACATTACTCTCAGATAAAAATCTGCAGAGGGCTACATGTTGACAGCTCAGTACTTTTTTTTTTTTAATTTGAGGATTGAACCTGGGGTTTCCTATGCAAGCCCCTACCACTGAGCTGTACTGCTAGTCACCATTTTACTGTTGTAAAGCATGTTTTTAAGATGTGGAAACGAAAATTAAATATTTTTTACAATTAAAATGTAAGGTTTTCCCCCCTTTCAAATAAGTAAATAAAATTATTTGTATCCCTTGCTTTAAGAGTTGTCACTCTAGCTACTCAGGAGGCTAAAATCTGAGGAGCACAGTTTGAAGCCAGCCCAGGCAGAAAAGGCATGAAACTCTCATTTCCAGTTATCTGGAAAAAAAGTCAGAAGTGGAGGTATGACTTAGGTGGTAGAGCACCAGCCTTGAGGGCAAAAGCCAAACAAGGCCCTGAGTTCAAGCTCTATTACTGGTATAAAGAAGAGAGAGAGAGAGAGAAAGAGAGAGAGAAAGAGAGAGAGAGAGAGAGAGAAAATTGGGGTGTTGCTCAGTGGTAGATCTCATGCTTAGAGTGTACAAAGCCAACTCCCCTCCAAAAAAAAAAAAAGAAAAGAAAGAAAGAAGAAAAATAGACATGAAATATGAAAGATCCTTTATTAGGTAAAAAATTACGCAAAGTATTAGTCATAATTTTGGAGTAAAAGATACGTATGCTTGAATTAGAGGTCTGTACACATCAACCAAGCCACGGAAGACTACGAGGACATTTTGAACCAAGCGAATGAGAGGAGCAGGGTGGAAAGTGAGGAGGAAGGCAAGACGGGAAGATGAACCACAGGGGAGAGGACAGCAGGGCTGGGAGCATGGCCAGGGAGGAAAGGAGAAGCAGCACTTCACTGTGGAGTATGGCGCTGGCCTCAGGCGTAGCCCCAGTACCCACATCCAGTCTTTCAGCCCAGGCAGGTTCCATTCCCTTGGCCTTCCCTCCAGATCAGCACGTGCCCACCCAGCAGCCGCACCGAGTCCCCAGTGGACTTCTCTCTTTGCATGCCTGCACATCTCCCTCCATAGAAGAGTTCCTGCCCTCGTTTTATTGCCTGCCTCCCTTCTATTTAAACCTCACTTGGGCAAAACCAGGGCTCCCTGTGTGTCTCATTTTGTCTTCCTGATTTAGAGAGATGTCTTTCCCCTTTCAGGAAACTTTTCACTTTTCTCTCTGTATTTCAGCACTCTTTATTTCATGTGCTCTAATTACCAGGGTTGGCTCAGTAGACTTCGTATACAATGTGAAGCTGTGCTTGAAACGATTGTTTTTCAACTTTATTTTCCTTGACAGATGTGCTATTTCCCCCCACAAGTTCTCCCTCTAAAACACCTCACCTCTCTGACTTCTAAAGTTTGAAGTGTGCGCCCAGCAGATGGTAGAGCTTCAGAGTGGAGTGCTAGAAACTTAGTGATCAAAGGACCCTAATTCACAAAATGACATTCCCAATGAACAGACTTTGAGGAAGTTTTGTAGTTTTGTGGTTCCCCCTCTCTGTTTTTATTGTTAACATGAATTAAAAAAAATACCAGACACATGCTTAAAAAACAAAAGAAAAAAATTTTTAAAGTTGTGTCGGAGATTTCTGCTTACCTGGTACAGGTCGTTTCTCATGTTGATAATGTCATCAGAAATCAAGCCAGATGTAACTGCTAGCAGATCCCTTACAAGCTGGACATGGAGGTGGATGATGGCTAAATGTAAGACACTGGAATTGAAATATGGTAGCAATTAATTAATTAGGTGGATATGACCTCAGGGCTTGCATTTGCTAGGCAAATCTACCACTTGAGCCAAAAGCCAGAATGACAGATATGAGCCACCTTGCCTGATTTAATTAAACTTTTTAAAAACAGTACTGGGGTTTGAACTCAGAGCCTGACACTGGCTAAATGAATGAGATGCCTCTGAGCCATGCTTTCCAGCCCCGTTTTTCACTGATTGTTTTTAGGATTGAGCCTCACTTCCTAAAAGGCATGCCTCTAAGCCTAATCATAGTTGGACACCACCATGTTCAGCGTCCCTTTCCTTCTATCTAGATGAAATATCACAGACTTTCCTGCTTGTGCTTGCTGAGCACCATGAGTTTGGGATGATTAGGCATGCATCACTGTACACAGCTAGGGGTTGAGAAGGGGTCTTCATAGACATTTTCACCTGGTCCAATGGGTGATCTGTTCAGCCCCTGAGTAACTAGGATTATAGGCATGATCCTCTGGTGCCTGGCTTAATTAGGGTTTTTTTTTTTTTTGAGAATAACAGCAAAAAACTCCGCAGAAATGATCAAACTCGAAGACTGGATCTTGTTATTGTACCTAGTTTGAGTTAGCCCTAAAATATTTTGAGTGAATAAAATGTCTTCATTTGAGGTTGATACTGTCTCTATAGGATGCATTGCTTCTTTTTTTTTTTGTCGGTCGTGGGGCTTGAACTCTGGGCTTGGGCGCTGTCCCTGTGCTATTCAGCTCAAGGCCAGCGCTCTACCACTTGAGCCACAGTGCCACTTCCGATGCATTGCTTCTAACAGCTCCCAATTGCCTGTTCAAGACTCCTATTAGACTCCTCTGTGGTGCCTGCATGGCCCAGGAGTGTTCATGTCTGACTGATCCCTTAAGGTGTAAACATATCCAGATTTCAATGCCAGAGGACCTTAGCTCAAAGGCCAGCCCTACCTTTGCACACATTTCTTCTTCTTCCTTCTCCCTTACTTTCCCTGACATGCAGATGGCACACATAGCGTGAACGCCTGACCTTAAGAATTGCTTAGACAAATTTAGTCACCTGGTGATGCCAGCCTTTTCTAAAGAATTATGTAGTAGCTTTTCAATCACGTATGTGTGTATGTATGTATGTAGGTATGTATGTAGGTATGTATATTATGTATATATGGATGTCTGTTGTGGGGCTTGAACCCAGGCAGGGTTTGGGTGCTGTCCCTGAGCCTTTTTTTTTTGTTGGTCATGGGGCTTGAACTCTGGGCCTGGGCGCTGTCCCTCAGCTCTTCAGCTCAAGGCGAGCGCTCTACCACTTGAGCTACAGAGCCACTTCCGGTTTTCTGGTGGTTTACTGGAGATAAGAGTCTCACGGACTTTTCTGCCCGGGCTGGCTTTGAACCTCGATCCTCTGATCTCAGCCTCCTGAGTAGCTAGGATTACAGGCATGAGCCACCGGCGCCTGGCTTCCCTGAGCTTTTTATGCTCAACTTTGTGCCACAGCGCCACTTCTGATTTTCTAGTGGTTAATTAGAGATAAGAGACTCATGGACTTTCCCACCTGGGCTGGCTTTGAATGGCAATCCTCCGATCTTAGCATTACTGAGTAGCTAGGATTATAAGCACCAGCCATCAGTGCCCAGACACATTTATTTTTGTTTTTGAGAAAAGGTCTCACTGAGTAGCCCAGGCTGGCTTTGAACTTGAGATCCTGCCTCAGCTTCCCAAATTCTAGGATTACAAGTATGTACCATCACGGCCAGATTGGTATGATAGCTTCTTAAAGATCTTCCTATATGTCAAGAAGGATGTAAGTAGGCTTTTAACTACTGAGAAAAAAAAATCTGGAAGAAACAAAGTCATTGTATATCCTTCCCCTCCACCCTCACATCTGTCTGGAATGTTCTGTTTTTTGTTTTGTTTTTTTTTTCCTCTCTGCCGGGATGGTTCCTACATCCTCCTTTATGTTCAGTTCAAACCCTGCATCCTGGGAAGGCTTCTAGCAGAGGAAGCTGACCTCTCCCAAATGTGCTGCTAGTTACATAAATGCAGCTTTCTATCGGCTGCTCTCCCTCCCTGGCCCTCCCTCTTCTCTGGGGCAGGCTCTATGCCCAGTGAGCCTTTGACACAATCTAGGTAGTGATTCAGGAGTGACGGAACCTGGAGGCCTTACATAATGAGCTGAAGAAGATATTGCTTGGTGCCAGATACCACTTTCAGGAGCGCAATACTTTTTATCAAAATCTTCTATTAAAATGAATTGAACGCTGAGCGCTGATGGTTCATGCTTGTAATTCTAGCTACTCAGGAGGCTGAGATCTGAGGATCACAGTTTGAAGTTCGCCTGGGCAGGAAATTCCATGAGACTCTTACCTCCAATTAACTACTCAGAAAAAAACAGAAGTGGCGCTGCAGCTCAAGTGGTAGAGTGCTAGCCTTCAGCCAAAGAAGCTCAGGAACAGTGCTGCAGGACTGGCACCCACACAAAATTAATTGAAAACAACTCACCAATAATAAAAAATTGGCTACCATCTGTCAAGTGCTTCTAGTTACATCATGCTAAATATTCACCACACATAACTTTATAATCATCAGGATGAGCTTATGAAGTCAGCAATCCTATCACTCATGATGTTGTGGACTTAGGAATATAATAGAACTCAGCTAAGGTCACATAACTATGGTGAAGCAGAAATTCAAGCCATCTTTTTATTTTTTATTTTGGTCTACAGCTCTCCTTCCAGCTTTTTGCTGGTTTAACTGGAGATAAGAATCTCATGGGCTTTTCTGTCTGGGCTGGCTTTGAACCATAATCCTCAGATCTCAGCCTCCTGAGTAGCTAGGAGTTCAGGCCTGAGCCACTGGTGCCTGGTTGTCAAACCATCTTCCCAAGGCCTGGGCAGGCTGAGTTTCCTCTAATTTCGTGGAACGAGGTACCTCTACATTCAGGCTGCTTTGTTAGCAATAGCATCCATAACTTATTTGGCATAAACATTGGCCAAAGAGTACCTATAAACTCAATTGTGATTTTTTTTAACCACTGGGGAAATATTTTGAAGTGGGTGATTTCAGATTTTTATTATTTTTTGTCTCTTGAAAGAAAGGCTGGGAGAAGACTTCTGAAAGGTGCTTAAAGCCTGACGCAGAATGGAGGCACGTATATGAAGATTAAACAAAAAAAGGTCACACTTCAAAACTGCCTAAAAATTTCCATGTGCATTTCAGAGCAGAAGTACATTCCCCTCCCCCTCAAATCCTCACACTCTCATGGGAATTTCCCCAATACCAGATGGTTTTACTTTTTTTTTCTTTATTGTATGTTCTGTGGTGACTAATGGCTACAGGACTCAGAGTATTTGCCAGATATGACAAGCTCACTGAAAGCAAGAGACCTGAATTGTGGCAGCCACAAGCTGTGGTCTACACTTTTTTTGGGGGGGGGTATAGGTCCTCAGGATTGAACTCAGGGCCTGGCTGCTGGCCATGAGCTCACTCAAAGCTAGCACTGGACTACTTGAGCCATTGTGCTTCTTTTCTGGGTAACTGGAAATAAGTCTCATGGGCTTCCTTGCCCTGGCTGGACTTTTAAGTTTAAGCTTCAGATCTCAGCCTCCTGAGTAACGAAGGTTATAGGTATGAGCTATCTGTGCCTGGCTTTCTACACTCTTAATAGGGTGTCTTTTTGTCTCATCTTTCTGGTTTCTAAGAGAGCCTGCTTGTATGTGTTTGGGGTCCTTGAAGAGGCCTTCCCCCCCCCCACTTAGTCCTGGGGCTTGACCTCAGGGCTTGGGCACTATTCCTGAGCTTCTTTTGCTCAAGGCTAGTGTTCTTGAGCAAAAGCACTACTTCTGGCTTTTTCTGTTCATACAGTACTGAGGAACTGAACCCAGGGCTTCACGCCTGCTAGGCAAACACTCCATCACTGAGCCGTATTCCCAGCTGGGAGAGGACTCTTAAATACTCATTTCTGGCCCTGCACAGAAGGCTACCTCCTCTTCCTCCCCATGTCTGTCCAGTTTCCTTCCCCCTCAGTGGCCTTCCATTCTCTGCCCAATCCTCTCCCCCCAGATGCAAGCATCTCTTTCTTAACTGGCCTGTGCTCATCTTCCCTAAGCTCATCAATTCAGCAGGTGTCTAAAAGTATTACTGCAAACACCGCTGTCTTGGCTAACTGCTTTCTCTTGTGGTTCGATGTTATTGAATGTGAATCAGATTATTTAACCCTGAAAAAATAAACAACACTGTGCTGTTGGAGGCTTTCTACAGAGAAGGCTGTACCGGTTCCCCCCACACTGTATAACAAGGCCAGTGGTTATACCACATCCTTGGTTACGCTGTAAGGAAAGAGAACAAAGGTTTCTGCTTGACACCCTGAGGTTGGCACTTTCCTAAAGTGCCTGGTATTTAAACCGAGACTTGAAGCACAGCGCTCAAGAGCTCTTCCACAGAGAAGGACTTCTCCGCGTTGATGCTATTTTAGGAATGTTTGAGATAGAGCGCTTGACTTGAATCTCAGCGCTGTGGTCTCTTGTTGCTTTTCTAGGCTTTTGAGATCACTTTAGAAGTATCAGTGAAAGGAGGAGGGGAACTGTTTTAGAAAGAAGCCAGGTGGCTTTGGAAATACAATCTTGGCAACAGCAGGCATGGTGCCTGCAAAATTGGACACCCCACCTCCCCACCCCGCGGCCTGGGTGGGAAGCGTGCTGTGTGCCCACGCGCTGGGGACCATGCCCAGAGGCGGTGGACAGGATCAGGAACTGGGGAAAGCAGCAGCTGCCTCTTACTCCTTCGTTAGGATTTTTCTCCAGTATATGATCACCACGAATATCCAGGGATTCGAAGGGACTCAACAATTCTTCCATTCTTATTTCAACAATTCTTCCATTATTATTATTATAATCAATAAAGCAAGGCTTTCAAAAATGACCATTAGCTACACATATCTTGGTTCCCTTGCCTACAGAAATGCCCTCTTACATTAATTAATTAAATAGTGTTGATCCTGGGGCTTGAACTCAGGGCCTTGGCACTGTCCCTGAGCTTTTTGTGCTTGAGGCTAGTGCTTTACCACTTTGAACTACAGCCCCATTTCTGGTATTTTTAGGAGTTCCGTGATAACAAGAGTTACATGGACTTTGCTGTCTGGGCTGTCTCTGAGCCTTCTGTCTCTGAGCCTCGATCCTCAGATCTCAGCCTCCTGAGTAGCTAGGATTAGAGGCATGAGCCACTGGCACCCAGCTGAGATGTCCTCTTGCAAGAATATTCCAGTTACTATTAGAGTTTAGTAGGTGACAGCAACAGGCCAGGAGAGGCCAGGTATGCTTCACTACAGGACACTAGAACTTTAGAACGGCGCTGTTCTCTCCAGACACTATGCCTCATATAATACTTTCCCCTCAGCCACACCCTAAAACTGCCCTGGCCACACAAGAGCTCTGACTTGCCTGTCCCCATTCTCATCCTGCACTGTGGTCAGATGGCGCTGGACAGCTAGCAGCATCTTTACATCTCCCGTCACCGCGTAGTTGAAGAGAGCATTGGCATGCCGCTTGGCCAACTGCATCGCCTTCTCCAGGAAGAGATGATCTGCAACACAAGGACCAGGATCATTGCTGAGGCTCCCATACTTTTTGTACAGGTATGGGGCAGCACATTGTTTCTGTTGAAAATGCTCCTTGGGGTGCTTCTGGATTGTGTTCATCAGAAAAAGTGCAAACAAATAAACAGACGGATGTAAAAACACATCTGTTGGCTTGTTATGGGGGAAGTTAGAAATGTCTGTTACAAGACTTAAGAAACAAAGGACTTCCATTCATCTGCTGATCACATGTATGGTATATATGTGTACACCGGAGGGAAACCAGGAAGATGACACAGAACTAGAGGGAATCAGGGAAAAACATACAACAGCGGGACCCATTAGCTGCACTGGACATTGATCAAAATGAACTAAGCAACTTAATGGCAGCGATGGGAGGGAGGGAACAAGTGGGAAAGAGGGAACAGCTGATGCTATGCAAAACAAAAGCAATGTACATATCACTCAATGTGGAAGAAATAACTGTATTGCAAAACTCATAGACCTCATAAATGTTATAGACCATGATAGACAATTTGCCCCATGAAAGTTAGAATGTGTTTGTGACTTTAACTAAGCATCACTATCCCACAATACTGTGAAATTTGGGAAATTATGTAACCACTTAATCACAATAAAAAATTTGAAAAAAAAAAGAAATGTCTGTTACTTTAAGAACTGTCAATGTCCGTTACTTTAAGGGGACTCATCCATCTTCAAACAATGCAAATTGAACTTTGCTTTCTTATTCGTTCTTTTGTTCTTTCTCTTCTTCTCCCTCTTCTTCTCTTCCCCCCCTCCTTCCTCCACCTCCTCCTCCTCTTCTTCTGGTAATGGGTTTGAACTCAGGGATTTGTGTTTTCTGGGCAGGTGCTCTGCTACTTGAGCCATACCCTAAACCTTTTCCTCTTTAAGTCATTTTTCAGATAGGCTCTTATGTTTTTGCCCCAGCCAGCTTTGATCCTTGGTCTTTCTATCGATAGCCTCTTTTATGTAGCTGGGATTACAGGCATGTAACACTAGGCCTTTCTTGGTGAGAAAGTCTTTAAGAGAAGGGCTGGCTAACTTTTTTTTTTTGGCCTAGGATGCCCTTAAACTGTAATTTTCTACTTCCCATATATAGGTGTGAGCTCCTGTGCTTGGCATGTTACATTCTAAATACCTTGGTAAAAATAATCCTTCACTTAAATCTTTTTTTTTTTTTTTTTGAGGTTGTCTTGGATGGGCGCTGTCCCTAAGCTCTTTTGCTCAAGACTAGTGCTTTACCACTTGAGCCATAGCTCCACTTCTGGTTGTTTCTGAGTAGTATATTGGAGATAAGAGTCTCACAGACTTTCCTGTCTGGCTGGCTTTGAACCACAATCCTCAGATTTCAACCTTTTGAGTAGCCAGGATTACAAGTGTGAGCCACAACTGCCCAGGCTTCGTGTGAATCTTTACAACTATCTTGTTAGTAAATATGTCAAAAACATATATGGCTCTGCCATATAGATAACTCTGAATGAGCCAGAGGTGATATTGTATAGTTTGTGCCCTTCATGGTCAGGGGAGAGCAAATTGTGATCTCCTGGTCCAAACCCGGCCATGTATAACCTGTTTTTGTATGGCTCCCTGGTTAGACTTGGCTTGTGTATTTTTGAAGAGTATAAAAGAAAAAAAAGAAAGGTGTGACACAGAGAGTAGATGGATGCCAAATCTAAATATTTACACTTTCCTTCCTAGAAGAAGCCTTCAGAGTCCAGCTAGGTAGAATGACCTAGATTCATACACATACCCTAACATGATTTGTTCAAAGGAAACAACAACATAGTTCCTTCCCTTGAATCCTGCTCCTTCAAAGAGAGTAACAGGAGGATTGCTCCAGTAAGACAGCCAAGCCCGATGTTGGAGAAGGGGGAGAAGGAATGACAGGGAAACATCTCGATTTCCTGTGCCAGAAATGGAATTATTCTCACAACAGTCCCAAGTTATCTGACTAGGATGGGAGAATAGACATATAAACTTCTGTATTTTAAATTCAGACAATTGGCAAAATGGAAATCTTGTACAAATACACTGACATGACACATGCTTTACTGTTTTTTTCCCCCCAGTACTCAGGGCTTTATGTTTGCTAAGCAGGTGCTCTACCCTTCAGCCATTATCTATCTATCTATCTATCTATCTATCTATCTATCTATCTATCTATCTATCTATCTATCTATCATCAATTCGATCTATTTTCAGGTAGGATCTCTTGGACTTTTTGCCTAGGTCAGCTTGGCCTTATTCTTACTTATGCCTCTGTGTCTCATATCCAGCTATTGATTAAGATGGGGGGGGGAGGGTCTCACTAAGTCTCTCTCCAGGTTGGCTTTGTAAGTGATCCTCTCAATTTTAACCTCTAGAGTAGCTGGGATATGAGCCATTGTGCCCAACCTGACACACACTTTCCAAAAGGGGCATAGGACTTTGGCGAGCACATTGATATTTCATCTTTAGATGAACAGAGAAGAGACTTGTCATCTGGAAATAGCTTCCAGCATGCAGAACTGATTCCTCCCCAGCTAATCAATACCATGCAGTCAGCTGGGTGCTACTGACCTTGAAACCCACCAGTATCCTCTTCCTTTGTTCCCACCAAGTCGGCCAGAGTAACCCCATCATTGCTGCTTCTGGATTTGCCCGGCTCATTATCTTGTTCTGGGATTTCACTTTCTTTCCCAGGGACATGTGCAGTCTCTCTGTCCTCACACTTGCCATCACCTTCAGATCTGTCTTTATATTCAGTGTTTATGGTTCCTAAGAAAAATGCAACACATCAGCTTTTTCTCAGTAGAAGCCACTAATTAAGTTGTAACTCACTGTTGTAAGTTGTAACTTGCATAAAGGTAAGAGGCAATTCTGCTGCAAAGGGAAAATAAAAATCATAATTTGAAATTCTTTAAAAAAAAAAGGTTCATAAGGCGAACAACACATTTCGGAAGTATCTTACACGATCACTTCTGAAACCTTTTAAAACCGTACCTTTAAAAACAGATTCTGCTTATCGGGAAAGGAGAGCAGTGAAATACAACTCTTGAAGGGAAATAGAAAAATGGAGGATTCTTGGAAACGGAGGAGCTGTGCTAATTAGGCAAGCTGTCAAAATGTAATCTCAATTCACAGTCAGTGGTGTGAGATTTCAAGTGCACCATCTTAGTCCACGCTCTTTCTGGTTCAACCATGCCATCTGACAGGTACCATAGGAGCGTGGGCAGAACTAGTTTAAATTCCACTTCTGGCATGAACAGTGACGTGCCGTTAGCAACTGAATTGTTTCTACCTCTGTGTATGAAATGGGGATGATGAGAAGTCATGAAGATTACAGGTGGAGAAACACTTATTTTATGGAATGACGTGTTGCCTGACTATACAATTTAAAAAGTCAGTTATAATCTTTAAAAAGAAAAAAAAGAATAAAAACACCTGTAGACATAAAGCATGTAAAGCACCTGGTATAAAAGAGACAAAGTCTGGTGATTTTAAAATAGTTGAATAGTCAAGTCTCTCTCTCTCTCTTTTTTTCCACTGTGTTTCTTCCCAACAAATGGCCATTCTCACTGCAACAATGAATAACCCACAGACCAAAGAAAGGTATTACTCTAGGCTCCTGTTTGAAACCAGCAAGCACTGGTCTTGATTCAGGGCCTATCAAGTCTCTTATATGTCTTTTTTTGAGATACCTTTTCCCCTCCCCCCCCCATTTTATCAGGAATCGAGTTTATATTATCCTCAGGAAATACAAATTTGGAAAAGCATAATCTGGATTTTTTTCCCCCAGATGATACTGTTGTTGTGATACATAACGAGGAGACAAATCCATCATTTTTGTCATTTTTTTCCTACCTGGGAATGGAAGTATTTATTACTTACCATGGTTCATCCCAGCACTGGATTTGGTGGATCCAGGATGAAAGGTAATCCCTCCATACGTGGGAAATCCGTAATGTGGAAAGCCATACCCTGAAATGGCCAGTGAAGCAAAGGGAACATCAGGAAACAGGAAATAGCATTCACTGGTCTCGGACAAGGGAGTGGAAAATCCAGGCTAGTGAGCACACTGGGATTCTGCAGAGTAACCGAGACACACTGTGGGGGCCAAGGGATGAGCTAAACTCCACTTTGCCCACTAGGCAGTGCCCCGGACTGGCAGCATGGAGTTCACATTGAGAAAATCTCCCACTCGGATTGGAAAGGGGAAACTAGTAGTGAATGGAGTCACATTCAGACTCAGACTACAGAGTATTTGGCCAAATAATTCCAGAGGGAAAGAAATAAAACAGAAGAACAGGCTGATGTATCCATGGAAAGAGTATGTTCTTTCTTCATACATTTTTTTATTTTAGTTTTTTTTTGTTTGTTTGTGGTACTGAGGAATTGAACTCAGGGCCCCATGAATGCTAGGCAAGCACTCTACCACTAAGCCACATTCCCAGCCCCTCTCATACATTTTTGGTGGAAGAATAAACTGGTGAAACTCTTTGGGGTGATAGCTGGCATTAATAGATGGCACATCCTTTGATGTGACAACTTTATTTCAAATAACCTAATTTAAAGGTAATCTGGAATAAAAAAGGAGTTCAGCACAGTATTTTATATCAAAAATAGAAAAAATTCATATGTAATAACACAGCACATTCCTGATGATATATTTTAATCTCTGAAATGATGCTTATCAAATTATGCTTCTGTAAGGTCTATATTACCAAGAGAAAATGCTTATGCTAATATTAGGTAAAGGCAGTATATATAACTGTACCCAGATCATGATTCAATGATGATAAATACTAAACATTATTAAGAGTTAAAATAACATGCACCATCACAGCTGTACTCTAGAAAGTTTATAAATATTTATTATAATGTGTATATGATGGTTCACCTTAGATGGATTTTCTGTGCTTTCAAATTTTTTGCAATGTAGTGTGTATAATCTAAATTGTTGTTGTTGTTGTTGTCAGTTGTGGGGCTTGAACTCTGGGCCTGGGCGCTGTCCCTTAGCTCTTCAGCTCAAGGTGAGCGCTCTACCTCTTGAGACACAGCACCACTTCCAGTGTGTATAATCTATAATGTAGCATAGATATTTACATTATAGTACGTAGGTACATCACATACATCTACCATTTTCAGCATATATAACAAAAGATTCTTTCAATATTTCCTAAGGAAAACAACTGGTCCCCGAAAATATTTGGAAAAGGTCATTTTTGGATAACTGGTTTTGGATGATTTTTTTTTCTTCTTACAGATAATCCATCAAACAATGTATTATCTGATATTATATATTATAGTTATATATCATATCTGTATTATATTATAATATTTGATACTGTATCTAATATATCAATATATTATTTGATATGATACCCATAGGGATATATTCTAGGGCCTCAGTGGGTGCTTGGAACAGTGGACAGTACTGAATGCTACGTATACCCCATCTTTTCTGGTTCATACATACCAACGGGAAGGCTCCATTCATAAGCAAGACATTTATTCAAAGGAAGGATGAACAACAGCAATTAATAATATGGAACAGGGGGGCTGGGAAGGTGGCTCAGTGGTAGAGCGCTTGCCTTGCATGCTCAAGGCCCTGGGTTCGATTCCTCAGCACCACATAAGCAAAAAGAAAAAAACCGGAAGTGGCGCTGTGGCTCAAGTGGTAGAGCGCTTGCCTTGAGCTGAAGAACTGAGGGACAGCGCCCAGGCCCAGAGTTCAGGCCCCACGACCGGACCCCCCAAAAAATAATAATATGGACAGTTATAGCAACACACTGTAATAAAACCTATATGAATGTGGTCTCAGCTCTCTCTTGAGTCAGGAAAACTATTATACTTTCAGACTGATGTTGACTGAGCCTAACAGAAAGTGCAGGAAGTAAAAGTGGGGATAAGTTAACTTACAAGCTAAGTGGGGGTGGGGTGGGGCGGTGGCCACCCAGGGTTGTAGAGGGAGCAGTTGTGTCTTTGGAAAGTACATGTATATTTGTAAGGAAACTTTAATGGATTTGAAATCTCATCCATAATAATGTCACAGTCACTCAACCTACAAAATACATTTGGAGACCTAGGGAAGAAACACACAAAGTGCAACAACAAAAACCCGGTCTTGTCTCTGATAGGAAGAGGCTTTATGAAGAATAGATTGGTACCTGGACCGGGGCTTCCAGAACTTCCTCCTCCACCTCCTGTCCCAAACATGCCTCTGCCTCCAGCTCCCGCACTGCCACCACCGAAACTATCCGAAAAGTTGGGCATGAGCTTCTGCCGCTTCCTCTGCACTTCCTCTTTATCTGTATTTACAGGAAGAGAAACCACAGGAGAGAAGACTGACTGGGCTCCACCACCCCAGCCGCAGAACGACTATGGATTCTCATGGCATTTTAAAACATCTTAAAGGGAAAGAGACAGCACTCGAGGAGGAAGAGCTGGCAAATTTCAAGAAGCACTATATTTATTTCCATGAGTACAAAGGCCCAGAAGGAGTCTCAGAGATCACAGGGCAGTCCCCACCCAATTCCACCCCGCAAACATTGTCTAAGTCCCCAATTCAGGTCAAACTGTGGAGGGGCCTGTCCGCTTGCCTTCCAGAGACTTAGATACCAGGAAGGTAAAGAATTTTATAAAAAAGTTACTGAATCTCCCTCCCCCCCACCCTTGGTCACCAAAAAAATCTATAACTAATCAGTGAACATTTATGAGGACTCTACTGTGAACTAAAGGGCATGGCATGGTGTCTTTGCTGTCATTGAAGGTGGCTAGGTGGTTTGTATCTGTGTGAAGTTCATGGTACACATTGGTGATACATCAAACCCATGTGAGGAGTTGAAAAGGAAGACGTTTCAGGAAGAGGATATGGACAGATTTTACAAAGTAATGAAGGATATGCCTGAGGCAATAATAGGCGAGGCAATTCTGGCTGGAGTGAAAGGTTCACTATAAGGAATTCCCCATCCCTCCCTCCCTCCCTCTCTCTCTCTCTCTCTGTAAAATATACATTTTACTAGAGCCAATAAGAATCCCGCAAGAAAGAGCTAACTCAGGAAATTTCATATGACAAGCTTTACAAAAGAACTGCAAAGCACAAACTCCATAGAAAGGAAACAGAAATTCTTTCACACTTGTTATATTCATCCTGTGGTGGGCCTTTGACAGCAGCACTATGGAATTCATTATGAAACAGCAACCTGTTCGGGTAGAGACCTAATCGACTTTCCTCCAGAATTCTCCTTTCACAGAAGAAAACACTGAAGCTCAGAGGTTTTGAGGTCAAGACACAGTGAAGATCAGACTCCAAGTCCAGTGATCCTTTACTATATTAGATTTTTATTCTTTGGGAAACAAAATAGCCTTATATTGTAAGTGATTTGTCTAATAACCAATGACTTTAGACTATAGTTGATGATTTTAAGCTAGGCACCACTGTCTCATGCATGGAATTCTAGCTATTTAGGAGACTGAGACCTAAAGAATCATAGCTCCACTAGTGCAAAAGAGAAGTGCAAAAGACTCTATCTCCAATTAATCAACGAAAAGCTGGGCTGGAGGTCTGGCTTGAGTGGCTGAATACCAGTCATGAGCGAGAAAGCTGAGTGAGTGAGCAAGAGGCCTTTGAGGGCAAGACCTGATATTTTAAAAATAAGTTGATTAATCAAAGATGAACTCAAGAATGAAATTATGCCCACTTTTTGGGTTCTGATTTACCAGTTAAGATGTCTGAATATATCCTAACCATACCATTTATAACCTACAGATTATCATTTTGTTTCTTCCTAATCTCCGTCTTTCCAGATCAAGGTGTCCCTATGGTCTTTACTGGTATTCACACAGAACTCCTGCAACTATCTTCCCCCCTTACCAATCAGCCCTCACTTGGTTATTTCAGCAGCCTTGCCCGGTCCAACTATCTCTAAGAAGTTTTGGTGAGATGCAGTGACAGTGATTGTAGAGAACTTAGCGTTCAGGTCTGGATGATTCTGGATAAAGAGAGGGTAACGTTTTCTATCTATATCTAAAGCCTTTGGGGACCATACTCAACACATTCCTAGCCTGGTTGTTTCATTCCAATGATTTGAACACCAACTCATGCAACACATGTTAGACTCTCAACTTCAATGATAGGCTTCCAAAGGACTACATCTTACACGAGTTTGGACAAATTTCAGACTAATTCAAGCTAGTATATGAGCTATCTCTTTTCTCTAAAAATAAGTAGCACGGGTCCAAGGAACAGCGTTGAGGAAGCGAGGCAAGGAGGTGGCAGTTGATTGTGTCTAATCACCTTTGTCCTCTTCAGAACAAGCACAAGAATGTCAACGGTGGCATTACCTTTGATTTCAGGGTAGTAGAGAAAAGGTTTGGGTTCACTAGTTTCCAGGTCAGATTTCCTTCGAAGTTGGACAAACACAGAAGCTGGTTTTGTGATGTTCACATCTTTATACTTTGGAGTTTTGAAGACAATAGCAAACTGCAGGATACAAAGGTCTAAATGTTGGTACAGGACTACTTTTTTTTTGTATCAATGCTACATACTAAATATAGTCTGTTTGCTTTTATTTATACCCAACAATTAACAAACTGTGCTAAGCATCCCAAAGCTCCAGAGAAAGTTCCAAAGTCAGTGTTTTATACTACACATTTTTATTACATTCTCACTGTGAAACCGAAATTCAACACTATGCTAATGGATTGCAAAAACATTTGTTTCACTTGATATTTCAAATATCTTCCAGTTGTTAATATCATATATGTAAACTCATTGTATATACTTTGTCCCCTTGCAACTCAGCCTTAAAAGCTCTCAAGATTTTTTACAGAGCATCTGCAAAACTGGATATGGAAAGAGATGAACAATGAATACAATCATCAGCCCACAGGCCATTAAGAAGGACAGAAAACTAAAGCAGCCTGGGAGGAATCAAAGCACATTCATTCCTGGTCATGTCAGAAGAATTAGACATTTTAAGAGTCTTAGTTTGATTTTTTTAAATTTTTTTTTCTGCTTATGTGGTGCTGAGGAATCGAACCCAGGACCTCATGCATGCAAGGCAAGCACTCTACCACTGAGCCACCTTCCCAACCCTTAGTTTGATTTTTAAAAAAAACTATGTAGTATAGTTCATGGATCAAGAACTCAAAAATGTCAAAGGTATACATAATCATATACATTGATAATTCTTTCCATTCTCGTCGCTCATCAACATAATTCCTGATTCCAGAAGGACACATTGTTACTTTCTTATGTCCTCTTCCACTTTCTTTGTACATATGCACATATGAACATACACTTTTTTTTACATTTATCTTTAAAAATGTGCTAGCTCTGTATCTTTGTAGTAGTCCATAGAGTGCCTCAGTTACTTTAGTGGCTGTATGGCATTCCATCCTATAGATATGTGATTATGCAATGAGACATACTGATTGACATTTGGATTGTTCACAGAATTTCTTTTTCTTTAAATAGTGTTTCTTAGTCACTCATGAAGGAGTAATTATCGAGGTAAGGGCTCAGATTTTCCACCCTGTAGTCATACAATCAGTTGGGAAATTCTGATTTGTCAGGATGACATCAGCCTTGGCTTGAAGACTACTCTTTTCTATACTTCTCACTATGATACCTTTTTTCCAAGTCTCAATGTAACTGCTTCACAGAATTCTAAAAAAAAAAAAAAGAAACAAACATAAAAAACAACCTGTCACTGCAAGACCTGAGAGCTACCTGCCTTAAGTAAGAGTAGAGGCAAGATACCAAATGAAATGTCTTGCTGGCATCTTCAATTCAGCAGTGCAGTAGAACATTGCCAAATAATTCCACGGGAGGGAATTTTCCTACAAGCCTTAAAAATAGTACTGGGTTATAGACGTTAACTAAATACTTTACATTTTTTTTCGTATGTGGACATTGAATACTGAATTTCAACAAGGCAGAAAATGTAAACTCATCATTATTATCATCAGTCACTTACTTGTCTATGAACATCTGTGGGAGAAAAATCTCCAAATCCCTCCCAGACTCCACCGTTTTCCTCCTCTTCATAAAATCGAATCTGGATGTCATCTGCACATAAGTGACATTCAGGTGGATATTGCACACAGTGTAATAATGTTTCAAAACAGAAATAAGCCTGGTCCACAAAACTTTACCTGTGATATTTTCCAGGTATTATTTTTGAAAATAACTAGTATAAGTACATTTTTGAATCAAAAACTTTCATAAATCATTCACTTTTAAAATTACCTGCAGAAGGAATGGAGCCTGAATTCAATTTACAATGGCAGAATATTAGATTTACCTAACCCATGAGAGTTTTCACTTAATCAGTATTTAATCTTTTCTCTTTCTTTATCCTTAAACTCATTAATGCCTGAAAACATGCCAGATGATGGAGTAATAGAAGAATCTCCAAATGTGATTTAACCTAATTTATAGAATAACAACAAACTTACATATGGTTTGCTAAATGTAAGCTATGCTATATGACTGATGCCTTCTAAGTGCCTTATATATACATATGAACTCATTTGGTTTCCCAAATGCCTCTCTGATGTTATTCCTCCTCCCCCTCCTCCTCCTCCTCTTCCTTCTTCTCATCATCCTTATTTGCAGAAGAGAACCTGAGGTCTAGAAAATTTCCTAAACAACTTATGCAAAGTTGAACAGATACTAAATGAAGAAACCAGATGTGAACATAGACATGTTTTAGTGGCTAGGCTCTTAAATACTTTATCATATTACTGCTCTGTAACGCTTCGTTAGCCCCTAATGAATGGTAGGCCAAAAGACCACAATGGTCAAGTCCCTTACCATTAACTCAGAATGACTAAGTTTCACACTCTAGTCATAGGCTATTTTGGCAGAAATATGATGATATAACTCAGGCTGGTATCTCCCTGGACTTACTTCCCACTTCATAGGAAAGACCATACTACTTACCAATGAAACTAAGTACATATTTCTATTGTAACAGAATGCTTGCAATATTAGGGCTAGATAAAATGTCTCATTGTCTCTCTGTCTTTCGGAAATATAACCCTGGTCTTTAGTTATTCAGATTCCTTAAGTGGAGTATAAGACTTCGCTTCCAGTACGATGACAATGATCAAGAACAAAGGCAGCCAGGTTGTACAGGTATATGACCCCAGGAATTTAGAAATGAGCATTATATAGACAGTGAGTTGGAGGAAGGCAGATACTAGTGCAAATGAAGAAAATATAAGCTTTTAAAACAAATTATATTTACATATGTGTATTTATATTTACCTTCTAATTTTTTTCTGACTTTATGTCTCAGAGCATTTAACCTCAAATTTGAAGATGTTTTACAAAGCCATATTTTCTTATTTAAGGACTATTTCTAGATATGCATCTGTTTATTTTGAAAATGCCCATTTTAAATACTGTATTTTTCATTTATCATTTTATTTAAACCATGAATGAAATTTGAGAAAAATGACATGACCTCCGCCAACTTTTACTAACTAATCAGTTTCATATCTAGCAATCGTCAATGCTAAGACCTCGTCTCAAGGTATAAACTGACGACTCTTTACTCCTTCTCTTTTCTTTTCCTAGTGCACATATAGTGACATGTGGGATGTTTAGAAAAGCCCTCTTAGTGTTACAACACTGAAAAATAAAAGAATCAAGGATTTTGTGTGTCACACTTAATTATTCTCTAGGTATACTGATACATGTGTCAAACACATACAATGACAGATAATCCATTTATTGTAGGCTAACCAAGTGTAGATAACAATGCTTATTAAATTATGAGTGCCCAAAGTCACTGGTTTTAATGATTATTCTATTCTTACTTCTCTTGTCTTCTGTGGGAAATCCAAAGATGAATGATATAGTTGGATTTAAATTAAAAAAAAAACCCACAAAACACCGGACAATTTAAACTTGGGAGAGGTGAGATATGCAGATGTTTTAAAGGAATTTGGTGACAAGAAGGGGACATTTCTGGTTTGCTGCTGAACAGTGACTCACTGAGAACAGCGTTTCACCTCTGGAGATCAGAACTTACCTTTCTGAACTTTGTCACAGAGGAGATAGATCTCTTCCCCTCCGGTGACACATCCGGCCGTCCTGTCCATCCTTACAATCTTCAAGTTGGATGCATTGGGGGCTTCTGTTCAAAGGGGGAAAACCAACAAAAACCCTGGGTTATGCTGTTTTAATCCCCTTAGATACATGGCCTAAACAATGTTCAAACAGGTGCTTTAAAAAATGTATTTTATTGTAAAGATGTTGTACAGAGGGGTTCCGGTGACATGAGCAAGGTAATGAGTACATTTCTTGTCAAACATCATTACCCCTTCTTTGTTTTTCTCCTACTATCCCTTCCCTTCCCCCCCTCTCCCCGACCAAGCTATAGTGTCTTGTGAGTATCATTGTTGCAATGGGTCATAAGGTGCTTTTAGTCTGATTTAACTAATGACTTTCGAGGACTTCTGGGGCCTGATCCATTGATTAAAAAATGATTATCATCATGACAAGGCAGAAGGGATCAGATAAGATAGAATACATAATGCTTTTGTTTCTCTTTCTAACACAGAGAGACTGATTCAGAAAGAGAAAGAGCCTTCCTGGTGTTCCAAGAAGTACCAAACCAATGGATTTCTGCAATTTCAATTAGGTCAACATATTAAGCCTAAACATTTCCATGCTAATGCTATGCCATCACCATTGTGCGAGCCCTACACATGTAGGAAAAGCATGCTTTTTTAAAGTGACTTATTCATTTTTATTTTTACAAGGGAAAATGGAGATGTTATATATTTCTTTTCTCCAAACTAAGTTAAGATTCTGTGTGGTTAGGGGCCAAAAGTTTCATGTGGTAGTAGTAAAGCTTCCTTATTTTTTAAAAACTCCAACCCAGTTTATTTTAAAATGAGCTGTGGTATGTGAGTGTGTATCATTTTATAAAGCTTTCACTTCTTGTCCAACTTGTTTAAGTTGGACAAATCAGTTAGCTTTTGTACCTGGAGCACCAACTTCTATAAGCTTTAAGTAAGCTGAAGTATTATACTCACAGGCTCTCTGGAAATACCTGTTTAATAAATACTATGTATACCAAAAAAGTTGAATGGTAAAAGCTGAAGACTATCACACACACTTTAAAAGTTCTAGGAACTATAGTCTTGACAGAGAATTTGGATATATTGCTCATTCAACTAATCTGAAGTTCTTATCAGCACTGCCCAGAGATGATAGTGGGTTAGAATAATGTTTCTTAAAATTTTCAGAGCCTTTCCCCAAATGAGACATTTTTTTTCCTCCTCTAAGAGAGTCACTGATCTTCTCATATAGTAATATGTTCATAAATGAAGGACTTAAAATGTTGAATCTAAAGACATTAACCCTCTAGCTAGTGAACATTTCAGTAAAATGTGTAGTTCATATTTTTGTGGATTACATATAAACCCGGGATTTCAAGTGGCTACGTTACTTTCTGTGGCGCTCAGAACGGGCTGGTGAGGGGCAGGGCAGGGTTAGGGCTGGCTCTTGCTGTTCTACTCACTGCTGTCGTAGATGGCGTCTGAGATCACGGGTTCCAGGCGCCGGGTGAAGCTGCCCGTGCTGTCCGGAAGGAAAGCTGTGAACATGAGGCGCACCACGCTCAGATCCATCTCCTTGGTCTGCTGGAGGGCGGCCTGGCGGATAAGCTCCTTCTCCCCATCTAGGGTCACAGCACCAGAGTGAGCACTGAACATGACTTGAGTTTATAAAGCCCAAATGAAGAACAGAACCTTGGAAGTTAAAAACCCACCTCTTCTCTCTTAAAATGAGCCATACTGCTCGTAAAGCAAAACAAACATACACAAAGAAACCCCAGAGTTCCTTGGGAGCCTTCCAACATTGAAGATATTAAAAATGAGCTGTATTGTTGTTGTTTTTCTTTCTGGATTATGTAAGACTGTCTTCCATGTAGCAGATGATCTCTCTCTTCTCCTGTTCTCACTCCATTCTGCCTTTTCTTTCTTCGGTGAAGGACATGAGGGAGAGGATTGGCATGGGGCCTACCATGCACAGCAGCTACACTGCTACCTTGTGAGAAGTAATTGTCCAAAAGTTCTTTTTTTTCTGGTTGGTCGTGGGGCTTGAACTCTGGGCCTGGGCACTCCCTTAACTCTTCAGCTCAAGGCTAGCACCCTACCACTTGAGCCACTGCTTTTTCTGCTTATGTGGTACTGAGGAATTGAACCCAGGGCCTCATGCATACAAGGCAAGCACTCTACCACTGAGCCACCTTCCCAGCCCCAAAAGCTCTTCAAGTAGAGGGCCTGTGCTTCCTTCACAGTGCCTGGCCAACACTGCCCCTGCTTAGCACAGGGCCTGGCACACAGGTGTTAGTGAAGGACTTTGGAAGGGAGGAATGATGGATTCAATCCTATTTGGTCCCTGGCCATCCTTAATTTATGGTATCATAAAATGTAGTAAGTCACGTGGTAAGTGTTGTAGGAGAGCTATAGATAAAGGAAGGGGTGAATCAGAGACTTTGTAGTCCAAAGAAAAGGTAGTTACCCTAACTTTTATTTTGGAGACCCCAGGGATTAAATCCAAGGCCCCATGTATGCTAGGCAAATGCTTTTACATGAGCCATGCCTGTGGCTGATATTTTCGTTTTGAGACAAGGTCTCTCAGTAACTTTGTGGGGCTAGGCCTTGACATTCCCTGAGGAGCTGGGATCCATGGGCATATACCACTAGGTCTCACTTTTGGTGTAAATCTCAAAGGGCTGGTAGAATTTGAACATGCAAAGAGACTGGATAAGGGTGTTCCAGGAAGAATAGAAAAATGTGCCAAGACACAGGAAACCCCCAACTGCTTCGTAAATTAGCAGTGTAGTTTGACACGCAAGGACAAGAGCAGGAAACAGAGCTGGAATTGCAGATTGGGGCAACTCTTGGAGAGTCTAAAGTGCCTGCTGATGGCATTTGGAGGGGCCCATTAGCCATGAGCTCTAGGCTTTCCTAAGATTGTTCCAGCCACAGAGTGTAAGCTGGGTAAGAAGTGGGGATGTGCAGAGATCAGGAGCAGACTGCGATAACTAGAACACTGGAATGAGGAGTGGAATTCCAGGATGACAGGGAAGGAACAGCCAGACCACAGATGGCAGACACAGCACAGTGGGAAAGGAGGAGGGTGAGAGCATGTGTAGGCTTTGAGTCTGAATGTCAGAAGATGCAACACACTTGGTGGAAAAATGATGCTTGGTTCTGGGTTATCTGAGTACGGAATGGCTACAGCAGCACCAGGTTAAAGGAAAAAAATGGTAAAAAGCAGAAACAAATGTGGTCAAATGAGAAATGGGGTTAAAGCAGGAAAATAGCAACTCTTGGTTATTTTATGCTAAGTCATAGCTTGTTTGTGCTAAAATAAAAGTTTACAGTGTTATCTGGAGAGCACTATGAGAGAAAACCTTACAAACCCTTGAATCAGGGAGGTATGATAGTGGGCATTATTTGTATCAATTATACATTGTTGTTGTTTGACAGGTTGTAAAGGGAATGTTTTGGAGCACTGAGCAGGGAAAGATATATGAAGGCACGAATGCGTATTCGTTCATAAAGCAGTGATGAGAGGTGGGTACAGCAGGACTGGAGAAGGGGCTAGAAAGGGGACAGGGCAGGTAGGGAAGGCATTGCCCACTGAGGGCACAGAGGTATTGATTTACTACAGAGGCGGCAGATGTCAGCAAGCATTCTGAGCAGGGATGCTGGGTGCCAGTGGCTCACATCTGTAATCCTAGCTACTCAGGAGGCTGAGATCAGAGGATTACCTTTTTGTTGTTGTTGGTCCTGGGGCTTGAAGTCTGGGCCTGGACTCTTTTTGCTCAAGGCTAGCACTCTACCACTTGAGCCACAGTGCCACTTCTGGTTTTTCCCATGATTAATTGGAGGTAAGAGTCTCACCTACTTTCCTGCCTGGGCTGGCTTCAAAACTCAATCCCCAGATCTCAGCCTCCTGAGTTAGGATTACAAGTGAGAGCCACTAGCACTCAGTTTAGGATTGCGTTTTGGAGCTAGCCTGAGCAGGACAGTGGTAGGAGTCTTATTGCTAATAAACTACCAAAATAAAAAAAAGCCAGAAGTGGAGCTGTGGCTCAAGTGGTAGAGCACTAGCTTTGAGCACAAAAACTTAGAGACAGCGCCCAGGCTCTGAGTTCAAGCCTCAGGACCAGAAAAAAAAAATCTGTGCAGGGAAAGGGGTGAGAATAGTGAGGGACACAGACAGATAGGGAGAAGAAGAAAGCTCCGGCATGTGAGTGAACATATAGTCCACATACAAAGCACAAAAGAACAAGACTCACCTGTAAGCTGCCGGTCTCCTCCACCTTCTGCTTGCAGGTAGGCCAGCTCAGGATGCACCAACAGGCCAGGGTTGTAGCCCCTTATGCATGCATCTGTCATTCGCGCTTCCAGTGTTTCAAATACTTTTTTCTTTGTCACATGAAGGATTCCCAGGTTTGCAAAGCTAGAAGAACAACAGGCACAAAGGCGGCAAGAAGCAGAAGTTAGGTAATCACTGATGACAGAGATCTGGATGCACTTTGAGTAGGTGAACTTAGAGGGGAAAAAAAACCCCCAAAACCTCACAGTCCCTTGATGTCTTATCCAAATCTATTAGGCTAAACACGTTTTAGAATTCAGCTATTTTATTTTTTAATCAGAGACGATATATGGCATTTACAGCCTATTACACAATATTCTTGGCAGGTCTGGGGCACATGATATAATCAAACACATGAACATTTCGAAGAGAAACTTATAAGTAGATCCACCAACTAGAAAAATAATGCCTATTAATAGCTGCACATCAAATCAGATTGAATTCTGCTATCGAAGGGAGTCTGTGGGGAACTGAGAAGAGTTTTCTGGGTTTCAGAGGTTATTAGATTTCCAAATTCTGATTCAGAGAATGGGGGATATTTGTATATGAATCTTTTTTTTCCTTTCCGTCTGAGACTGGGATTCGAACTCTCTATTTAATGCTTTGTGCTCACTGGCAGGCCCTCTCCCACCTGAGCCACGCTCCCAACTCCTGTATCTGCACCTAAATAAGGAAGCTGTACCTTGATTGATCTTAGGACATTTTCTATGAAATTGTGCCAACAAACCCCTTTCCTAACCCCAAATATGTACTACTTTTAAGAATAAGAGGAATATTGTATTTGGATTTATTTTACTTTTGGCTCATCTTTGGGTTTCTGGATGGATCTGAGGTCACCCTGGACCCCTATCTTCCTTCAGATTATCTATAAGGCTGGAATTGTTTATTAGGACCCTAGTTGTCATCTGATTCTACAAGACACTCAAGCCTGAGAAGTAGAGATATGATCAAAGCAAGGAGCCCTTCATCTCCTGAAAACTACGTATCTGCAGACCAAAATGTATCAATAAAGTGAAAACAAACAGTTGAGGGATCTTTAAGAATGTATAGAAAAATGCTTCATTTATCCCCCCCTTTTTTAAAAAGTACATGAATCAAGCCTGTTGCTGGTAACTAATGCCTATAATCCTAGCTACTCAGGAGGCTGAGATCTGAAGACCATGGTTTGAAGTCAGTATAGGTAGAAAGGATCATAAAACTCCTACTTGCAGTTAACCACCAAAAAAGGAAAAGAAAAAAAGCTACAAATGGAGCTATAGCTTAAGTGGTATAGTACCACCTTGAGTAAAAAAGCTGAGGGACTGCATCCAGGCCCTGAGTGCTCATACATACACACACACACACACACACACACACACACACACACACACACACACACACAAATCAGAGAAGTGTATTTAATGAATATAAAAAACAAATACACAAAAATCATTTTATCAAGGATACTCAATCATCCAACAAATATTTATGCAGGTCCATGCTTGAAGAACAGTGAAGTAATCTCTACAGAGAAGATATATGTCAAAGGTGACAGATAGACACAAAGAAAAAAGTGAATGATGCAATATGATTTAGGAGGTAGAAAGTGTTATCCAGAATATAAGTTATTCAAGGAACAAGAGAGCTAGTAGGAAAGGTTCAGCACTTTACAGTAGAAAAGCTCAGGAAAGCCTGGTGCTGGTGGCTCATGCCTGTGAGGTTACTCAGGAGGCAGAGACCTGAGGCTAGTAGTTTGAAGCCAGTCTTGGCAGAAAAGTCTGTGAGACTCTTATCTCCAATCAACTAGGTAAAATGCTTGAAGTGAAAGCACTTACACTCAGGAAAGACAGAAAAGATACAAAATGACCCCCAACAAGGCTATGGAGAATTTCTGAGATAGGATTAAGAATTTATGAGACACTGTATATATGCTTCTGGATATCGTAATAAAGATATCCCAAATAAAAGTTATTTTAAAAGAACAAAGAGAAATGTTTGTGTGTGTGTGTGTGTGTAGTAGTAGTAGTAGTAGTAGTAGTAGAGTGTGTGTTGAGCATTCATAAGGACTTGGGCTCAATCCTTGGCAAAAAAAATGGGAGGGGGAGATGGAGGAGGAGCAGAAGAGAGAGAGGAGGAGAAGGAGGAAAAGGAGAAGGAAGGGTACAAAAGGGGAAGGAGGAGGGTAGAAAGGATTAGAGGTAGGGGAATAAAAGATGGGAAGGGAGGGAAGAAAAAGAAGAAAGGGAAGAGGAAAGCAGGGAGGGAGAGAGGGAGGTAGAAGAAAAAAATGTAGACAGAGAAATACTCAAAAAAAGAAAAGCCTGAAAAGTTTTAAAATTTAATAAAAAGATAAGCCCAGACAGTTACAAATTCCAATGAGTGCCAAGTTAAAGAAGTTGAAGAAACTATTCTATCATAATCAGATTGCTTAAAACTAGTAGGATGAAGAACAAAATCTGAAAAGCTGCTAGAGAATTAAAAAATGACACATGTGTACAAGAACAAAGATAAGGCAAAAAGAAGACTCCTTGTATACACAAGGTAAGTCTCACAGCAAAGCAATACATTGCTGGCCACACCTAGTATTCTCTACTCTTCAAAAATATCTTCGAATAACAAAGTAAAAACTTTAGACAGAACCACTGAAAGAATTCATCAGTACTAAGTCAGCAACACAAGGAAAGTTAAAGGAAGTGTTTCAGGCAGAAGAAAAGCATATCTGATAGAAATCTTGACCTTTTACAAAGCAGAGTGAAGAGCACTGAAGATAGTGGGTATGTATGTAAAGAAAGATCTATTTTTTCCTAATTATAAAAAGAAATTTCTTTTTTTTTCTTTCTTTCTTTCTTTTTGGGTCCGGTCGTGGGGCCTGAACTCTGGGTCTGGGCACTGTCCCTCAGCTCTTCAGCTCAAGGCTAGTGCTCTACCACTTGAGCCACAGTAACACTTGCGGCTTTTTGGTGCTGAGGAATCGAACTCAGGGCCTCATGCATGCAAGGCAAGCACTCTACCACTGAGCCACCTTCCCAGCCCAGAAAAAGAAATTTCTTGCTCACATCAATAATCCTATCTATTCAGGAGGCGGACACTGGAGAATCACAATTAGAAACCAGACCAGGCAGGAAAGTCTATGAGACTCTTACCTCTAATTCACCACCCAAAAGCCAGAAGTGGAGCTGTGGCTCAAGTGGTAGAGTGCTAGCTTTGAGAAGAAAACAAGCAAAAGCTCAGAGATAGTACCCAGGACCTGTGTTCAAGTTCTATGATCGGTACGAGAGAGAGAGAGAGAGAGAGAGAGAGAGAGAGAGAGAGAGAGAAAGAGAGAGAGAGAGAGAAAGAGAAAGAGAGAGAGAGATCCCTTTTCATTGTTAACTAGTCTTATATCTTACCAATGTAATACAGTTTGTCCAATCACCTTTTGAGGGACATTTGGTTTCTTTCTAATTTTTGATGATAAAACGTTTTCAGTGTGAGCATACATTTTCATTTTTCTTGGGTAAATATTGAGGTGGAGGATTGCAGGGACATAGCTAAAGAATATATTTATTTGTTAAGAAACCACAAAATTACATTCCAAGCCATTTTGCATTCATATTTGTAATCCTAAATCTTTTCCCTTATATATACTACTACTACTAATTTCCTCTTGTTTTCTCTTACATTTTATTATATAGACATTTTCAAACATATATAAAAGTAGAAACAATAGCCTAATAAGTGGCTATTGCCACTTGATTGAACTACATTGTGATAACAGAATACTTGGTACCCTTTTAAATTTATTAATACAAAAAATCAGCTTATAAATGCGTTAGAAACAATAGTAAGAAAGAAAAAAATCACTGTGTCCTTATCCTGGGGTTCATTTTGCCTAACATCATCTTATCTGACCTTTTCTGCTTGTCTCAGACATATACTAGTGCATAGAACATTTTTTTATCCTCTTAAGTTTTAACCTATTGTCTATTTAAGTTCAAATTAAACATATAATGCATATAGTTGAGTCATCTTTTCTTTTCAAATATTCTGTGACTTTTAATTGGGATGTTTAGTGTCTCTTCTGTTTAGTGTTCTTCCTTTCCTTCTTTCTCTTCCCTTTTTTGGATTATTTGTTAGGATTTTATTTCTGTCTCTTTTGATTTATACTGCGTTGTATTTCTTGAAGTTTAAACTACGTATCTTGAATTTACTAGTTTATCTTTAAATAAGATTATACCTTTCCATTATAGTATGTGAACCTTCTGTTTCCTTGTGCTTTTGTAACATCTGTTTTGTATGTGCCCATATGAATCCCACAATATCTCATTCAGGGTTTTGCTGTAGACAGATATCTTTTATTGTCACTCTTTGTCTGTCTGTCTGTCTGTTTCCTCTCCTCTCCTCCCTCCTCCCCCCCACACACAAGGCACACCATGGAGAAATCTTTAAGGCATGGTGTTAAGTGAAAGATGCCAGACTCAAAAAGAGTTCAGGACTCAAAAGCCAGGTGCTGGTGGCTCACACCATACAATTCTAGCTAATCAGGAGGCTGAGATCTTTAGATCCTGGTTCAAAGCCAGCCAGGTAATGAAAGTCTGTGAGATTCTTATCTCTAATTAATCACAAAAAATCCACAAGTGGTGCTGTGGCTCAAGTAGTAGAGTACTGGCCTTAAGCAAAAGGAGCTCAGAACCAGCGCTCAGGACCAGAGTTCAAGCCCATAACCAGCAAAAAGAAAAGGCTCCAAATTGTGTGGTTCCATTTATGAACCATTCTGAAACCTGGCAAAAGTCCTTAGTATTTGCCAGGGATTGGAAGAGATAAAAGACTTGACTGTAGAGTCATGAACAAGGATTTCAGGGTTATGGAACTATTCTTTGACTGTGGCAGTGAACTCCCAAAGATGAACACTTCAAAGGATAAATACGATAAGCACTTCAATCATGCTTCAATAAATGACTTTTACAAATGAAAAGTTAGCACAGCTAATAAAGGGGCTGGAACTAGGATCCTGTTTCTTACTGCCAGTGCCACAATGCTTTGCATGAGTGAGTGGTTTTTAACAGAGTCGCTACACAAGCAGAATCGGCATCACCTTAGAACTTATTAAAGCACAAATTTTAGGT